AAGGCTGGTTATTTTGCTACTGGCCCTTGTCTCCTGAGTGGCCATCTGCAACTTATAATTAAACCAGCATCATGTTTGAATTTTGAGCCTTGGGCAGCTCCATGGTGCTGTAATAATCGTGTTTATATCAAGACACAGATAAATGAATTTCTGTCTGGACAATGGTACAACACCCTTAAGCTTAGTCATGCAATATGCTGTAATAAATATATAGACACATCGGCAATTTAAAGGGCTCATATTATGATATTTTCTCTGTTATAATGTTGTTTCCTCATCAAAACATACCTGGAGTTGTGCTTTGTTTCATTCACATGTGTAATGGACAAATCCTGCATACTCTTTAGGCTGAGTTTTTCCTCTCAGACAGAAAAAACACCACCTTGTGATGTCACGTGATAATACAGGAAGTGCTCCACTCCACAAATTCCATACACCTTCACTAGGTAGTAAAATGTAAATGTTAATTTGAAACTATACCTCCTCATGACATCACAAGGAAGGAAAGAGCATTTTGAGCTTTAAACATACAGACAGACTTAATAATGCAGGATTTGTCAAACATGAACGAAACAAAACACAACTCCAGGTATGTTTTTGGTGCAATAACAACATTATAACATGGCTTAAAGCTCACAAGAGTCAATTTTGTGTAATATAGGATCTTTTAAAAATGACTAAGTATTTGAATTAGCATGCTGTTCTGTTCATTGTCCCCCACGTGTTTGTTTACCATGAGCAGTACTGGGGGCAGGGACTGGGCTGCTGTGAGGATATTGATCGGTGAAAGCTTTTGCCTGGAGCCAAATGTATCTTGGTTACATGTGCAGCTGGTGTGAGGGTGTGTAGTGCAGTGGCACAGTTTGATCACTTCTGCTTATGTCACTTCTGACCCCATACGGCTACTATGGCTTTTAGTGTGGGCCACTGTCCAACTGGGAAATGGCAGCTGCACGTTGAGTTTATAATACAGTTTTTAAGTGTTTGTAATAGTAATAATAATACTTTAATGTTATATTTTGAACTTGCTGAAGAGTGAAGTGCAAGAAACCAAAAACTTACCATATGAATTCAGAGTAGAGCCCGACCGATATATCGGTTGGCCGATATTATCGGTCGAATTGAGCACCTGGAAGCATATCGGCTATCGGCCGATATACTTGCTGATAGGGGCCGATTTTCACGTAGGCATGTTATACGTCGTTATAAAGCTTAGACTCTCTACATTATGTTCATTTAATCCAATTTACAGTCAGATAAATGTCCAAATATGTGGCTCCGCATCAGTATTTATCTGCGGAGTCATTTGTCTGTTTGAGAGTCACGTGTGTTTGTTTACATCCGCAGACACAGATCCAAACACTGGGATTATTTTCTTTTTACGGACAATCGGTTTGAGTCTGGATTAAAAGGACATTTATTAGTGCAGACTTGTGATGTGAGGAGGAGCCTGTGTGAGCGGTGAGTGTTGGAAATATGTCGACTTTGAAGCAAGTTTTTGGTTAGCGGTTAGCTGCTGTAGCTCCCACACATAAATAGGCCGTTTTCTATTGGTCTATTGTAAAGTGACTATATTGGCCATATATTTGTTACTGGACCTGCATTGATATGTAAATGAGCTGTGAATAGACGTGTGAATGATGAAATTTGCGCATATAATTAATTACCGCGGCACGCAGCATTTACGGCTAAAGGCTAATAGCGATTGTTTATTTACTCGCTAGCAGTGATGGGTCGTTCGCGAACGAAGCGGCTCTTAGATCCGGCTCTTTGAAGCGAACGACGGGAGCCTGATCCTTATTGGGAGCCGTGTTTTCTCTTTTTCTCACTTTTTTCTCTTCATGCCCCGTGCAGACTCGTGGTAGTTTGACAGCGGCAGCGGCTAAAAACGAAACTTTCAAAACTCTGCGTGTGCATAGTGTAAAAAAAAACTTGCAAAAATATATTCATCATAAAATAAATAAACCAGGACTAATCTTGGGGTCGAGAGAGGGAGAGAGATAGAGACCGAGTCCCGACACTCAGTCCTGGTTAAATTCTGGTTTAGTTCTGTTTTGCACATAGTTTAGATCTGTTATAGTCCTGGTTTAGTGCTTTTTCAGTGCTGGTTCAGTTCTGGTTTAGTCCTGCTTTAGACCTGCCTTAGATCTGCTTTAGTCCTATGACATTTCATATAAAGAGGCAGAATAACAATAAATGTTGCCTAAATAAACCCAGTTTAAAATCAACAAGAGCCAAACCTAAGTTTTTTTTTAATAATTCAAGATTTACAGTGAATTTTTATATCACTAAATATATCGGTGATTATATCGGCTATCGGCAGCTCAAATTAGCATTATATCGGTATCATATCGGCCACAACAAAATCCATATCGGTCGGGCTCTAATTCAGAGCATTGGAATTTTTCAGTGATGAGTTTATAAGCACTTTTCACATTTCTCAAAGACCAGTGTGGGGTTTTCCTGTCAACAACTAGCATCCTAAATATGTACTTCCTGATTCTCTAAATAAACATTATAAGTAGATGCAGACAGTATACAGTGGACTTATTTTGACCTCGCAAGCTACAATATATCTGTAATATATATACAATATATCTGAAATATACATATACCCACACATTTTTAGCCTGAAACTTTTCAAAAGAAATTTACATACACCTACAGACAATGATAAGAGATTTGACTTTGTTTCAGAGATTAATCATAAAGTTTCCTTGGGTATATACAGTATATGCCATGCATTTGTGTTGGCACGATACTAAAATATCAAACTCGATTTTGATAGTAAAGAATAGGCTCAATACTGATTCCGATACCACAATGATAACCTTAAAAACACTCAATATAATGTGATATAAAACATTAAATAATAGTGTTTTCTTTTATATTAACCATGTGGTCTTGTATTTGCATAATCCCTCAGTTGTCCAGGTTGGTTCCATAGGTCCATGGGCGTTTACTAGTCCACATGGTCTTACACTTGTTCTCATACAGCTCAAGATTCTAAAATTATTCAGAATAAGTTAAATTTCTGTCCTAAGAATGTGATTTTATTTGTATCGATTCTTGCTCAAGTTTTAGTATCAATTAGCATATGATTTTCTAAACCCAAATAGTCTCTTTTCCTCTTTTCGATATCCTCACTAGAGAGTTTCCCAGACGTTCCTTGATAGCTCACTAACTTCTTGTTCCTCATTATAATACAGTTTGATAAGCCTGTTTGTGTTTGTAGTTTCAAAATCCAGTGTCCGTAGATGTCATTTCTACTTACTTCCCCAGTTATATGGTGATTAGCGGTTTGGGTCACGTACTATATTTGAGAACATACAGGTCAAGGGCAGAGGCTGGGCTGAGCACTGCTGCGTGAAATTGCTTGTCATACTTACAGCAAACATGTCAGCCAATGGGACAACATGCTACACAATCAATTACCTATATCACTCCACATGAGAGGGACTACTGTAGCTACTCTGTGATGGACATGTGCACTCAGTCATATCAGGACTTGACGCATAAGGACATTCCGTCGAGCATTTCTGTCAGTCTATTTTCAGATTCAAGTCATTCATAAGTCATAGCAGTGATGTGTGAATAGGATTTGTGAATGAAAGCTGACGCTGATAATGATGTGAAAATGTTTAGGTTCATTATTGTTTACATTTAGGACAGGACAGTGTAATGTTGTGCCTGAATGTTTGCAAATGCTGCCCTCATGTGTTTGTTTTGAGAAATACAACAACAGTGTACACCATAAGATACCATTTATGAAATTAATCTGATAAATTATTTGATGACTTGTTTCTGTTATTAATGTTAGCTATTATTACTTTACTATATATTTACTTTTGACAAATAATATCCACGGAATTGTATTAGCAGTAATAAAAATGCTGTAGATCATTCTTGGGGTGATGGTTTATTTATGCGCAGTCACAAAACAGTTATGATACTTGACTCCACTTTGTGCTTTTTATGTCTTTTACTTCCATTAATTAAATGCAGAGCAAATTATTCATTATTCACAGTTTCTAAGCCCTTTTTCTCAAGGACCAGAGCAGAGTTTTGCTGCATGCTAAACACATCTCTTGATTCTAAAAAAGGAAAAAACAACACATTATAATTTGATGCAGACAATATAGTGGACTTATTTTGACCTGAATAGCTGCTTTTACAGATGTATTGTAAAAGCAGCTTTTCAACTATTGGGCCAAGACATATTTTTCTCATATACATTGAAATATTCTTTAGCATCAAACAAACAAACAAACAAAAGAAAAATCAACTTTACATATGCCTACACACTTTGAACTTTGCAATCCTATGTTGAGGAGTATGACTTTGTTTAATCAATCTAAAATTATTGTGGATTTTTGTGTAATATTTTAGTGGTGGGAAGAGGTCATCATAAACTTCCTTTGGGTATATAAGTGCAGAGTATATACACAATACGAGTTCTAAAAAAAAACTAGCCTGTTTTGCCCCTTTATAATGTACTAGCTATAAGATTTTCCAAATGTTCACTGACTTCTGCTTTCTCATACATCAAGGGTCCAGATTGAATTATTCTCTGTTGTTTCCTCATCAGAAATATATGTGGGATTGTGTTTTGTTTCTTTCACAAATGTTTAACACACAAATCCTGCATATTTAGGATCAGTTGTTCTCTCAAACAGAAAACAGCATGTTCCACCTTGTGATGTCATGTGGTAATACAAGAACTGCTCCACTGTGTTTTTAAACTACGCACACCTTCACGAGGGTTACTCAAACATGTATGAATGACACAAAACACAACTCTCTGTATGTTTTCGGGGAGGTAACAGCCTTCTAACATGACTTAAAGCTCACAAGAGTCCATTTTGTGTAGCATAGTACCTTTAAACAGTAGTACTACTTAAACTTTGGTGTATATTTGGAGTGCTTCTTCTTCCAGCTTTGCAATAATTTCAAGCACGTGTATAAAAGGTACTTAAAATGACGTCTCTCTTTCATTACAGGTTATGGACACATTATCCAGGCTATCCTATACAACTATTGCACAACAAACTGGAATCAGGTAAATAAATATAACATATTATTAACTATTTTATGTATGTAACTGAACCATATGCAAAAACAACAGGACATATTGTAACTATATTCACTCCATTATATTGTACATTTTGCTGTGTGGAAATGTTCAGCACAACTGGTGATTTTCATTATGTGCTGAGGTCATTGGGATTTTGATACTTCCTTATTATTGGTTTCACAACTGCCATCTTTATGCATTGGTTAACTAAACTGGAATTTTGGCCATTATGTTAAATATTTTGCATGCTGCGCTTTTTCCGTAACATTTGGCAGTCAGTATTTCATGTTTACTTTCAGAGAATGTAGAAGACAGTTTAACATGATTTACAATACAGAGTCTGGCTTAACTTCAACTCCTTACTGTCTCTCCAGGCCATTTCCAACTGAGGAGAGTGTCCAAGATGAAGAAATCTACAATCATTTGGAAGACCTCATAGAGTATGTGTTCTTCTACTGTCCATAGAGGCCTGATAAACTTCTTACATCTTGTTCGTGTAGAAAAACATGAGTTCTCTGGGTGTAGCCTGGAAACACGCCACTTCCCTCAGTTCACAGCATGAGTAATGTTCACTCATTTTAACACAAGTCATATGGGACCGGGGCTGATCATCTGTTCTGTGTGCGTCACATTTCTACAGATTTGTCAAACACACATCTATTCCAACTCCTTACTTCATCGGTTTCATGGACAGAATATGTACAAATCTTTGCTGTCAACTAACAAAAACAGTACAAATGTTTCTGTGATTAATAATACACTAGCAGCAAAAACAAAATGTTGTGTCTTCAAGCAAGGCACTTCAACCTCACTGCCTAGTGTGAATGTTGGGTGTGTGTCAGAGATGGAAATTATATTTTTGTATTTATTTTGACCTCCGTTAGCTGTGGAAGCAAAGCTGTTCTTCCAGGAGTTATCGATCTATGGTGCATGTTTTTTGGGTTGATGGGGGAAAGCGGAGTGCCCGGAGGAGAACATGCAAACTCCACACAGAAAGGCCCAGGCCACCTGGGGATCAAACCCAGAACCTTCTTGCTGTGAAGCATGATTGCCAGCCACTGGTGCTGGTTGGAGGGGCCCTTCACCAAGCCTAATAATAATAATAAGGAATCTATCAAGAACAATGCCCTTCGCCAGTTACTTCTTTACTGGCTTGGCTTGTCATTTTTACATTAATTACTAAAATATATTATTGAGCTGTTTATTCTGAACATTTATTTTCCAACTCATATTGTTAATTGTAACACTTTTACCATACTATATGGGGTCCACACTAACTCTAACCCCAACCCTAACGAAATATTATTATATTAATACAACTCATTGAAATTCCGCAATATTGTATTACACATATCAATCTATCATTTATTTCATTACATGTTTTTTGCTCCTTAATAGCTTGAAAATAATTTCCACAGATCTGACCTGTACAGATAAAGAATACTGTGGAACATTCTAGGTAAAAATCTGTCTGGAGACAATCAGGTGTTGGACTGTCCAGTTACCCTGAACCCCTTTAGTTTGAGTCACAACTCACTCACCTTTGTTATCATAGTTTTTGGTGACATCTGGTGGTAGAATTGCATTTTCTAATCACAATGCTCACTGTCACTATGCAGCCAGGTTTTGTCCATTAAAAGCTCCAGTGAAAAGGATATTAACAACTAAAATCTGGAATATATGTTCAGAAAGTGTTTTTCTTTGTGCATAGGTTGTCTAGTCAACAGCATTTAAACAATAGGGCTGTAGCTGACTAAAGACATTCTTGGTTGCCTACAGACCTGCACATTTATTGGTCAGCTAAAAAAGGGGCCTGGCAAAAGCTCTGTGTATTTGGCCCAAACTGTACTCACAAGACTGTACCTGGAGTTCATGCAAAAACATAAAGAGTACTAGGAAACAGTGTATTTACAGTATGTAAAGACTAGCTTATACTTGTCATGAGTTTTGTCTCACTTTTACATATAAATATCAAAAAATACCAAATCTTCAGCTAGCTAACTCACTCTAACATTTCTCTAGTGTAAATGTTGGTTGACTAAGGCACAAATTATTCCTATTTGCATACTGTAACTCACTGTATAGCCCACCATTTCCCTCCTTGCTGACTCATATGTGTGTACAAGTACTATATAACTTTAGATTACTTTTGTCACTATTATTATTACATATGAATCCATTAGAGTGCCTTACCCCCCATATAAAGCTGAGTCAGTCAGAACATTTTATAGAGTTATATTTATGGCGTAAACCACTTTCACGGCCACGGATTAAGTGTTGTCCCTCTAACAAGATTTGTAGGAAAGTACTAAAATCAAGTTTCAAGGCAGGAGAGGTTTTTCTTATATGATTTAAACTACTTTATGTCAAAACCAGTGCTTTCTTTGCTTACAGTGAAAAAGTGGAGGATGAGGAGGACCTGTACGACTGTGTTTTTGACGATGAAGATGGAGGAGAGATTTATGAAGATTTGATGAAGACAGAAGCCATTGCTCCACCGGTCGGTCTCATATATCACCTCAGATTCTTTCATAATATTGACTTTGCTAAAATTACCTATCTGTCTTGAGCAAAAGTGCTTAATCAAGACAGTTGCTTCGAAATGTGTCAAAGTCTTACTCATACAAAAGTGAAGACCACTATGGAGTAACTATAAGGCTGGACACTTTTGTCGGAAAATGAAATTGATGACCCTCCCACCTCTTTTCCATTAAAAATATTCTGCAAACTACAAAAAACTGTCAAAACTGAAAAATTGTGTTCAGCGATCATATTTAACTCAATGGCCATTGGGGCAATCTTTTATGAATGAGGTAAAATAAAAATTGAACATTGAAATTGACGTCACTGATTGAAAGCAGTGAGTAGGCCTGCTGTATGGCCCTGTCCCACACTTTGGTCCATGTGACTCCTGTGAGCTGCCTTTCTTGTACTTTCAATCCAATTTCCAATGTAAGAAAGTGGGGAAAGTAAATTTTCTTCCTAACAAAACTTTAAATTCGATTCAGCAGTTTTAATTTATTTTTTGCCCATCTCTAAGTAACCATTTGGTCTGTAATCTTAAGTGCGTGCAAATGCAGTCATAAAAAATGGAAAAAAGCAAGGAAACATTAAGGCAAACATTAAGGCAAAAAAAGCCCAAATGCAGCCACATGTTATTCTAAAATGTACCAACACCTGTCAAATACATTTGGAAAACCAATACTAAGGAGAGTAAATACAATTTCAAGGACAGCAAAACTTTCCTATCACTTCTGATTTTGACTCTCTGATCTGATCTATCCACCAACCACATGTTTGCAGTCTCACTTGTGTTCATGTCTATTATATTTATGTATAAAAATGTGTGTGCAGACATGTCAAAAGCAGTCAGACATCAGGAGCTGCTGTTTAACTGAAATCAAACAAACAGAGGAGAAGTACACCGAGACCCTGGAGTCCATAGAGAAGGTACTTTACACACTCGATACTCAAACATCTGCACTCGATATACTATAAAAGCTAATAATACATACTTTATACATAACTATCCATGGACAGCAGATCAGTATGCATCAGATTAACTCTACTAGCAGAAACATGTCAATATAAAGTGATTACAAAGTTGTGTTTTCTTGTCATATACAGTAACACATGACCAGACTTTTAACTATAAAGTATTAAATTATTCACTTTCCATCCACAAATTCAGATTGTGCAGATGCAGATTTGAAATGCATTATGTGTATATTGTATTTTATGGAAGTAGACCTGTTTATTTTCCGGTTCAGCTCTATTAGTAGTTGGATCTGCTTTTTTCTGGTTTAGATCCTGTCCCACCGAAACTTGATTGTGTCCTTGGTTCACATTAGATCTAATTTAGTTAATTTTTTGGGGTAGGTCCTGGTTTAAATTCCAGTTTAGTCCAGGATTAGATCTGTTTAAGGTCCTATGGCCAGGTTTAATCTTTGTATAGTTCTTGTTTACTTATTCATTTCTAACTTTGAGTCTTTGAGTTTTAGGTCATTGTTAACTCCTGCTTTAGTCTATTATTTCTGACTTAGTTCTGATGAAGATTTTGTCCCGGTTTAGCCCTTGGTTAGTTCCAGTTTAGTCATGGATCAGGTCATACGTCTGGGTTTAGTTTTTATTTAGTCGATCTTTTATGACCTTTAGTCTTTGGTTTGCTTAGTCCATTATTTAACATATGGTGCTTTTAAATTTGTCCTGGTTTGATCCTGGTTTTGTGTATTTGGTTCAGTCCTAGTCTAGCCTTGTTTTAGTTATGGTTTAGTCCTAATTTTAAGTGGTGGTTGTCCTCATGAAAGCACATTTAGTTCTGGTGTAGATTTGGGTTATTTTAAGTCCTGGTTAGTTTAAGTCTTGCCTTAATCTAGCTTTGACTCCAAGTTTAGTCCTGACATTGACAACAAACACCCACCTATGAGACTTCTGTAGTTCTTTTAACCTTATTGCTTTTACTTCATCTGTACTGCAGCCTGCCTCTTTCACTCTGCTCACATCCACTCATCTTTTCTGTTATGTGCGTCTGAAAAAGTCCTGTGCTGATTTCCCAGAGGACTGCCACACTAAATGACTTTGGCTATGAAGTGGATGGAGAAATTTCACTTGCACTTTGAGATGTAGAGGCAAAAGTCATTAGGTTTCAAACTCTGAAAATGAGATTATTATTGTCGTGACTCAGACAGACTTAGCAGCGGGCTCCTTGTTTTGCTGACTGCGGAGCTTTGCTACTTCACATTAAATAAAAGCAAAGCCAAATGACTTTCCCATTTGTACCGATACCCCAGAGAGACAAAACTCATTCTCTTCTTTCTCTCTTGCAGCACTTTATGTCGCCCCTCACCGTCTTTTTATCCTCGACCGAGACTGAAAAGGTGTTTGTGAATATACCAGTAAGTCCCTTTTAACAAGTTCAGTGGTAGGTTGAGCTTGTTGTTATTCAAATGATTGTTGGTAATCTTTTATACACAAATAAGTAATATATGTAGTTTGTTGGTTATGGATGGTGATGTTTATATTGTTTTTCAGGACCTGGTCAAAGTTCATAAAAGTTTGCTGCTTGAAATCCAAGACTCCGTGTTACACAGAAGTGCCCAAAACCTGTACCAGATATTTATCACTTTCAAAGAGAGGTAGGACTTCTACTATTATAGTATAAAGCAGGGGTCATCAAACTAAGGCCCGCAGGCCGACTCCACCCTGCCACAACCCCCCAGCTCCTCTGCCCCCCACCACTTGAACTGGCCCTAAAAGGTAATCCTCAAGAACTGTCATGGCCTATTTTTTTAAAATTACTTTTTGGCAGATAATAACACTTCGGCATTTTGTATCAATTTTGTGTCAATTTTTTCACTTTAAAAATGATATTTATATGAAGTATTTATATTTAAATTATTATACGACTTATTTACGTTTGCTGCTGAATTTTCGTTACCTGACAAGCTCGAGATAAAATAGTGACAGTCAAAGCACGCGCAGACTTCTGTAGTGCAGTTAAGGACAGCAAAATGGCAAGTGTTAAAGTACGAAAACTTGACAGAGAGTGCCAAATTTTCAAAGAAGAGTGAACAATCGATTATTTTTTTGTTCAGTGTAAGGACTGTGCAGTTTGTGTGATATGTAAAGAAAGTATGGCAGTTTTCAAAGAATATAATATGCGTTGTCAGGGTCATACAATTCTGTTATACGGCTGACCCAACCCCAGCCCCCATCACAGTCAGAAGTGATAATGTGTGTAAATAAGTATGTTAAAGGTCTTCTACTACACAAAATTGACTCTAGTGAGCTTTTAGCCATGTTATAATGTTGTTACCTCCTCCTGCCTCCTTTGTTTCATTCACACATGAGTAATCCTTTATTATTATTCTGTCCACATCTGCAAAGGTCAAAATGCTCTCTTCAACCTTGTGATTTTATGAAGCAGATGTTAACAGCTACCTTTTACTTGTTGTTCAGTAGAGATTGGCAGTTCGAGTGCTAAAATGATCCAAATGATTGTAGTGACAGTGTCTGAGGTTTAAAAACACATTTAATCACTACATGTATTACCAGATTAGGTGTAATAGACTGTTTTCTGTTTGAGAGAAGAAACAGGAAGAGCAGGGTTTGTGTGTTAAACATGTGTGAATGAAACAAAACACAACTCCGGGTATGTTATTGATGAGGGAACATCATTATAACATACTGTAACTCAGAAAATAGTGTAATAAAGGCACTTTAAGACATACTACACATGTTTCCATGGCAGTCAACTATTGGTTTTATCAGTAATCCAATGCTATGTGACCCTGAAATTGAACAAAGCAGCGGTCTATTTAAATCTATACCACAGCTGAGTCTTTGACACAGAAATCCTTGCATGCGATAAATAGTGTAAAACTCCAAAAACAGCAAGTATATCATTGTGAATATATAAACAGTGAAAGGAAAATACATTTTAGAATCAAATAGTTGTATGTAAACTTTGCTGTTTACTTAAGGTTGTTGATCTATGGAAAGTACTGCAGTCATGTGGAGACGGCCATCGCCACACTGGACGACATCTGTAAAGACAGAGAGGATGTCCGCATGAAGCTCGAGGTAAAATATGTAATAAATACCATCTGAAATATTATAATGTAAAGTACAGCAGCAGCTCAGGGTCATTCTTCACTGGGTTCATGAGTGGTCACACAGCACCCTCATGTGTTCAGCTGAGGTACTGCAGAAAACAGATTTTGGCTTCATGTGCAGAGGCTGAAAAGTGCATGTAAACATAGTTGTTTTATTGAAAAAAATTTATAAATTTTTGTGTTATTTACCACCTCTCACTATCTCACAGTATTTGTTTGTATATGCTACATTAGTAGCGACTAATTTATTCACAAGACCTGAATTGCTTGAGGAAAAAAATTAGATAGAGATATAGAGATTAGGGTTGTCAAAAGTATTAATAATGTAAGACTTCTCGCCAACAGCCTCTTCCCACAAGTTAAGCTTGAACAATGCACTTTGAACTTTGATGTAGCACTTTAATATTTTAGCTACTTAATCTTTGTATTTTGTTTATTTCACAGTCATATGTCGTGTGTAATGATTGTCTATTGTTTGTTTATGTTGTTGTTTTTAATGTCTCATGGGGCACTTTGTTTTTCCATTGTGATTTTTAATTAACTAACCTAACCTAATGCCAAAATTAGTATCTAAGCTATACTTGTACTCATTTGAAATATATCAATACAGAAAAAAATATATTAGAATGATTATGAATGATTATGAAAGCACAATTATGGTAAGATTTAAAGAAAGTTCTCTTATTTGTGTTGAAATTACAGTCATTACATGCAAAATTACACTCTTTGTTGTTATTAAAAGTCCCATTCTATATAAAATTGACTCTTGTGAGCGTTAAGTCATGTTATAATGCTGTTATCTTCTCAAAAACATACCCAGAGATATGTTTTGTTTCATTCACACATGTTTGAGTAAGATTTTATTATTAGTCTAGTCTCGTCAAAATGCTCTCTTCCACCTTGTGATGTCAAGCAGTAGTTTTCAAGTTAACAGCGATATTTTACCTTCAGTTCAGTAGAGACAGGCAATTCCAGGGCTGAAATCATCAAAATGATTCTTGTGAAGGTGTCTTGAGTGGAGCATTTCCTGTATTACCAAATTACATCATGAGGCTTTTCCTTAGTATCAATGTAAATGTAAATGTTGTTTTATTTCTTAATCATTCTTTGTTTTGTTTTGCTCAGGAATGTTCAAAAAGAGCCAACTATGGAAAATTTACTTTGAGAGATCTTCTGGTTGTTCCTATGCAGCGAGTTTTGAAATACCATCTCCTTCTACAGGTACACAATATTTCACATTTAATAGTATTTCCCTCATTTTATGACAATCCACAATCCACACTTCACATATATTTTTTAGCTTTGACAGCCCAATAATTCTCTGTCATCTCTCTGCAGTCTTTTCCATTTGTTTCTTCCATTCCCTTTTTCTTTTTTTCTCTTTTTTCCACTATAATGTCAAGTTGAGCAATTCTGAATGACAAAAAGGAGGTACACTTGAAGCAGGAGCCTTGACTAAATGTGCGAATGACAGGCAGGACCCATCAGGGAGTTTTCAACCCGTCAAACCCTCATTCACTGTCACTGTTGCTTTCAAAAATGTGATGCAATATCACCTCTGTCCACTGGGGGCGCTCTTGACCACGTTTGAGTCCATTCTGAAGCCTATGAGATTTCACTGTCTATCACGGCTGTTTCATTATGGCCCCCGCTTTGTGAGTAATTGCCGTTTTATCGAGATTCTCAAGGAGAAGTGACAGTGGTGTTATGTAGGGCTGGAACAGAGCAGCAGACACACAAAGAAGGAGATTTAAATGGAGAGATTTTCGAGTATCTGCAAGGAAGAGCTGAATTAGAAGCAATGCATTTCATTTTTCTCTATTATAAAACTAGATTTATATGAAAAGGTTATTTATATTTACTGTAGATAATCATTAGTAGTCAGATACACCACAGAGATGTATTTCTTTACCCTCTCAGTAAGCATTAAAGGTGCATTGTGTAACTTTTCTGGTGGAGGGTCCTCAGCCTGCTTGTCAAAATAGACATATGGCTTTGACTGGAATTTTCCACAGCATTGCATAATGTATTTATCTTGCATTTATTCAATCAGAGGTCTTTCTACTCCTCAAAAGTACAAAAGTCAAAACATTGACAAATGATAAGTTCCGTGCCATGCTGTGGAATATTCCTGACAAAAAAATAACATTTCCATGGAAAAAAGCAGGTGACCTTGCTGACCCTCCAGCAGAAAAGTTTCATCTTTAAGTTAGACTTAGAATTACAAATGTGTGACTGTTGTAATGACATACATTTATGACAATTTAATTAAATATAATGTTGCTGTGACCACCTCCAAACAAGAAAGTGATGACACCTAACCAGATCAGATCTGTGGAGAGGCAATCCCACTCACTTGCTTTTCTTGATGCTTTACAATTTGGTGCCCACAGCTGCCCTGGGACAGATTGACAGAAGCGAGGCTGCCAATCTGCACCTGGGAAATGTGGGTGAAGTGTCTTGCTTTGGCAATGTGGGTAAAGGATGCTGTGGCACCTGATTTTCCCAGTGGTCTCCGATCTAAGTACTGGCTTAGTTTCTGAGATCTGATGAGGTCAGGCATTGACAAAGAGGTTTGGTCAAAATACATTAATACTATGGAGCAGTATTTAAACAATTTCTTTTTACCTTTACTGCCTGAACTGTTGATTTCCTTTACACAGTCACAGTCACCTATCTGCCCCTCTCTCTCATCACCTCTCCTCTTCCACCTCAAACATAACTCCTTCTGTAACTCCATCTCGCTGGTGTGGCCCTCCCTCTCTCTGTATCTCCTCTGTGTGATGAATGGCCCCCTGTCGTATAGACCACTGATAATAATGCCCGGGTTGAGCTTGACTGACACAGAGGATTTGAGCGGTGGCAGTCGACGGATATCTCCCCCTGTGTGCTCTGGCTGTGTGTTTGTATGGGCCGTTATGGGGAGGACATGCATGGCCTCCCCCGTTATCCAGCCCGAGTCGCTCTAGATGTCTTGTTTACGTTGAGGCCGGGCACCATTTCAGATCAGCACACAGCGCAGATAGCCCACTGCATACACCGCTATCTGATGTATTTCCCTGGGCTGGATTCTTTTCCCAATTACATTTTTTCATTTCATATCTAAAGCCACTGAATCAACAGTTTGCACCTCCATGTGGGGAATGACAATTCTCTCATTTTCTTTTTTTTTTCTTTTTTTCTTCACCTAGAGAATGTTGGAGACATGGTTTTTATGAAGAATTGTGTTATGTTGTAATAACTTTGGCTGCTTTTATGTGACATTACAATGGCGCTATGCACATGTAAACTATAAGGCTGTATGTGGATGAATAAAAAGGCATGTTATGAAGCCAGTCAAGGTTCCAGAAGCAAATTTCCTCTTAGTTTTTCCTATAGACTTTACGAAAAATGTATATATCAAGAGTTTAAAGGACCTATTATCCTATTTTTGGATCTATGTTATAATGTTGTTTCCTTATTATAAACATACCTGGAGTTGTGTTTTGTTTCATTTGTACATTTTTAACATACAAACCCTGTGTATTTAGGCTGAGTTCTTCTCTCACACTGAAAACACTTGGTTACACCTTGTGATGTCATGTTGTAAATACAGGAAGTGCTCCACTGTGTTTTTAAATTCCATACACCTTTGTTAAATATGTGTCAGTGAAACAAAACACAACTCCATGTATGTTTTTGATGAGGAAACAACATTATAACATAGATCTGAAAATCAGTTCCCTTTAATAAAACATAAGGTAAAGCAAATCACTACAGTAATTTGTACAATAAGCATATACTGCATTTATTTTGTTTTTGTTGAATAGGAGCTGGTGAAACACACACATGATGCCATGGACAAGACTAATCTGCGCAAGGCACTGGACGCAATGAAGGTACATAAATCACCATAATCTTTATTCCGGACTCATGGTCCATTTTTAAAAAAGACAAGGACAGTGACATTACAAAAACAACAAACATTTATGTCTTTAGAATCAAATGATCATTTATATTACATGTTTATGACAAAAGGAAGGTCAAACTAGAAACGATTAATGATCAAACTTGAAATTTGTGTAGATTTTGCACCCAAATCACACGTTCAAACTGTATCTAAATTCAGAGAAGTAGGACATTGTGTGGGAATGCAACCAAGAAATACACAATATTTATTCATGATAAAAAAGTCATAAGTACTTCACTTACACTAATCAGTAAATACATAAACTGTTTTCCTTTTTCAAGATAAAGAACATACCTTTAAGAATACTTTGCTGATTTTTAAAATTTCTTTGTTGTAAGTTTTTGAAATGAGACTAGGCGATATTGAGACTTTGTAGTAACATCACAGAGGGGGTATTCGACATTTGTCAGTTACCATGATGACATAATGCACACATTTGCAAACACAGCCAAAAAACTCAAGAAAAAAATGATTTATACAATGCATTTTCTGGAGCATGTGATCAATTTAGAAAAGGAAATCTGAAATTCACCTGCAAATTCAAATGCTATCAAACAGTGATGCAGTATGATGGGAGAGCACATTTCCATCCTACAGTAGATGTGCAGTATTTCCAGTAAATCTCCCTCATTGTGTATTCTGTGTACGCAGGACTTGGCTCAGTACGTGAATGAGGTGAAGCGAGACAACGAGACGCTCCGAGAGATAGATCAGTATCAGAAATCCATCGAAAACCTGGTAAGCCCCGCACAGTTCACCGGCCCTGATCCGGGCTCAAACTGGGGAAAAAACACTATACCCCAATGATCAGGAATATCTTTGTACTTCCTCCTCTTCTTTTGCCCATTTCCTCTTTCCTAGAACCAGCCTCTGAAGAACTACGGGCGGCCCAAAGGGGACGGGGAAGTGCGGGTGTCTACAGTGGACAGGCGCGCTAAACAGGATCGGTGAGATGACTGACAAGCACCTGCTTGTATAAGTGAAACACAAACTACTGTAGAACTGGATCAAGGTCTTAGATGTCCTATATTACACAAAACTGACTCGTGTGGGCTTTAAGTCATGTTAGAATCAAAAACTTACCTGGAGTTCTGTTTTGTTTTATTTACACAGTTTTAGCAGCCCTTTATTATTAGTCTGTCAACATCTCCAAAGTTCAAAATGCTCTGCTCCACCTTATGATGTCATGTCGTGGAAGTGATAACGGCTCTAGTGAAAGTGCACAGAGTTTAAAACACAGTGGAGCACTTCTTGTATTATCACAAGGTGGAACCTGAGAGAAAGAACTCAACCTAAATATGCAGGGTTTGTGTTTTAAACATGTGTGAATGAAACACAACACAACTCCGGGTATGTTTGTGATGAGGAAACAACATTATAACATAGATCAGAAAACTATGTAATATGGACCCTTTAAATATTACAAATTTGAAACAAAAAAGGGACAGCAACAAGCCAGGGTCATTTGCTGGATTGGGTATCAGTTCCATGATATCGATTCAGCTGATATCCTGGTTGGTCCTTTAAATAGATGTGATGAGACTGACTGATGTATTCCCAGCTCATCTGATAATGTTTGAACTTTAAAGATGCACTGTGTAACATTTGTGTTGGAGGGTTTGCCACTTCCTGTGTACATTCAGATGATATTGCTTTGCTTTGAATGTTCCATAGCATGACATTAAACTTAAATCAGTACAATTATGTATTTATTACTCATAAGTTCAACAAAAAACATGCATTCATACTGTAAGCAGGGGAATGTCTCCACAGATCTGACCTGTAACTCAGCCTAGTGGCGTTACTTGCCTGTCACCGTGGAAAGAGATATGCTCAATGCCATACTGTGGAATATACGAGGCAGAGCGAAAACATCTCCATGGAGACAAGCCGGTGGAGGAAACAGTTACACAGTGAACCTTTAATTCATACAAAACTCCTCTGTAGTTATTTGCAGGAAAAATAAGTTGCATAACAAATGGATCAAATTTGGTAACTGTGTTTTGAGAGAAAAAGTTAAATTTTCAATCGCTACACAAGAATCACTTAATATCCATATCGACAAATACTTGAAGCCCTAGTAACATTATTGGTATCGGAACTGAAAAAGCTGAAATAGATCGCTCAAATGGGTCATTGTTATAAGTTTAATTTGGTAAATAAGCTACACTAGTAAAACTCGTACATGTTTAGTAAAATATCATAGGATCTGTTGTGAATGGATTATGTTTCTTGAGACAAAATATAAAATACATGCACTAGATTTGGTTGACAGATATGTAACTTGAGGTGATTTGAGGTTTCTTATCTTAAAAATGAAAGAGGACATTGTGATAATTTAAGACTTTCACATGACACTGCTGTTTTTCACACTTCAATGTGTGAAATGTGTATGAGAAAACACAACCAACAAAATGTCATCTATACCTTTGATGTGTTTAAACTATTTCTGTTTGAGTGTACAGTTTCCTTCTCGGCTTTATTCACACGAGTATTATGTTCTTAAGATACTTTTGGACACCATATAAGGAAAGGCTCAGGATATTTGTACATCCAGCTTTCTTCTTTTTTATTTTTTTGGTCACTCAAAGTTTTACATTGCAGGGAACAAGGAATTTTGATTAAACGAAAATAGCGTACAGATTACACAGCTGGAGTAGTTAAGAATATGTTTAAAGGTGCACTGTGGAACATTTCCGGCAAAGAAATAACACCTCCCAATAACAGCTCCATGGAGACCAGCGCAAAAGGGCAAAAGTTTAATAGCTTGCTGATGGAGGCTCAGCTATTTGCTTGTCCACATGGAGATGTTATTTCTTTGTTTGAAATGTTCGACAGTGGAGCATTTTCCTTGCGTTTGTTGAATTCCAGGTGTTTTATAGCTCAAAAATACCTTTATTTATGTAAGTTTATTTTGATATCATGGAACAATAAAGGCAAAACAGTAGTATCTCCATGGAAACAAGCAGGTGGCGGACCTTACACCAGAAAAGTTACACTGTCCACCTTTAAGGATTTTGCATAACATCAACCAATTTCAAGGCTTGAAATAACAGGTCATAAAATAGTGAACAAAACGTGCACACCTCTACACAACAGACTGTGACAGACTGTTTGATCTGGAATCTAACCTAATCTTAACAATTTGATCCAGAGTTTGTTGAGTCAGACCTCAGCCAGTATCCACTCCCCGCCTGTATCTCCTGCTGCTAGTTCACGCTGCGTCTTCCTCTTTTGATAGATAGTACACGTGACCTTTGACCTCCTCTGCGGACAAAAGCTGGAGTCTAGACATCACAATCCGCTCCTAACCCGACTTGACTGCACCTCTCCTCTCTACAGGCACATCTTTTTGTTCGATTCAGCAGTGATTGTTTGTAAACGCCGTGGAGATAATTACGAAATGAAGGAAGTGATCGACCTCCACCTCTTCAAGATTACTAACAACCCCACCTCGGACAAGGAGAGCCGCAAGGTCAGAAACTGCTTTACGATTTATACTTTTTACTCAACTCAATAATTTATAGCTGGGTTTTGCTTGAGTTTGAGTGGACTATACGATTCTACTATAGGGATTTCATAGTTGCTGGGTCATGGAAGTATTTTCTGCCATCTTGAAAGAAAGTCATGGAAAATTCATGTTATGGTGGATCGCAGGGTGGTGGTTGCCTCAGACTTCACAGGGATACGTCTCCCCTGTGGATTCTGCTCCAGTGTACCTGCCAAGACACATGTTTTTTTAAACTTCACATCTGGCCTTCGAAATATATCGCTATAGTTTTTTGTGTCTTTTTTTAAGCAAGATTTTGAGAACAGTGTAGCTGTTTGGGGATATTTTGTATTTTCACCTTTTTCTACAAGACCAGACCAGTAGGGCATTGTATGGGAATGATATCAAGAAATACACAATATTTATTTATGATAAAAATCAGAAGTACTTAACTTACACTATTAAGTAAACACATAAACTGTTTTCCTTTTGCGAGATAAAGGAAAGAGTTTATCTTTAAGAATACTTTGCTGATTTTTTACTTTCTTTGTAGTCAGTATTTGAAATGAGACTAGGCTATACTGATTTTGACTTTGCAGTGACATCATGCTGGGAGTGTTTTACATGTATGTGTATGGCAGTATGTTTATCAGTTACCATGGTGACACAATGCACACTTTACCAAATGCAGCCAAAAAGGTTTTCCAAAAAATTTTTTAGGTTTTTGATTTTCAATAAAAAGATGAAAGTGACAACAAAACAACAACAAATAGCAGTTGATTGTAATTTATGTGAGAGAGACGTGTTTAACAGCTAAATCAGATCACCTGTTGTAGTTCCAACTAAGTTCTTGTCAGATTGTATTAAAACAAAGTCAGATTAAGCAACAAAGCCTCAGACAGAAAATGCCTACAGTTAGCATCACAATCCCAGGGACTTTTACAGCTCTGACATCACATCAAAATTGGGACTGTACAAGGTCTAGACCAGGACAGAGCAAAACCAAGTCTACATCAAGACTCAACCAGAATCAGTACCTATAAAGTGTGATGCTTATTAAGAATTTGTATTAAAAAAATTAAATAAATAAAAAATCCAGTGACCCTGTAGCTGCTGAATTTTTAAAAAGGTAAAAAAATAGCATGTTTTTAGGCATAAATGTCAAGAGTTTGTCAGTATAGAATCCCCTTAATCAAAAATACTTGATTTGATTGGCTGCTGATTCACATTTAGTTCACTTTAACAGACTTATGGCATTTTATCACATTTTGCAATCACATTAGAGCCCATTCATAGCTATTGATTGGATTGGCAGCACTCAGGCCATACAGACCTTTATATAAGCTGCATATTAAGCCTCATTATTGTGCTGCTTTGCATTTAAAGGGCCCATATTACACTATTTTCCTCATCAAAAACTTTCTCTATGTTTTGTTTCATTCACACATGTATAACACACAGATCCTGCATATTTAGGCTGTGTTCTGAAACTGAAAACTGCTTTACCTTGTGACGTCATGTGGTATACAGGAAGTGCTCCACTGTGTTTTTAAACTCCATACACCACAGCTCACAAGAGTCAATTATGCATAATATAGAACCTTTAATCTACCATTTATGATTGGAAATCACTTGTTAACATGGTGGAAAATGGACAGGGACAATCGTCTAAATGTCTTGCTCTGTTGAGTCCATTATTGCTCCTTTACGGCCAACTCTGGACCAGTGACAAACCCAATTAGGAACATTACACAGCGTAGTAATGAGCAGCCATAACCATCTATCAACTAAATGTAGATTCATAAAATGGACTAAACCTGTATGATAATCTTCCATAGTACTACTGCAGTATAATAATGAACGTATCCAATTCAGCTAATCCCTCAATAGAAAAGGCGTCTTAAATAATGTGGTGCTTGCTTGTTCCAGCACATGTTTTACATCTTCTGGTTCATTTGGGACAGAAACAGTGTCAGTTTGCAGCAGTCTGCCTCCTCCCAGATGGTGCTATCATTAAACCGCGCTTTGGGCCAGGCATTCACGGGCACACGCTGAATACTAAGTGCCAAGGGGTGGAAAATATTGCCAATCAAAATGAGAGATGAGATGCCAGGACGCGATGATTTGGGTAATAATGAGTCTGTAAACAGGGAGCGTTACACACTTCCCATTCATAAAGATGGTTAGAGCTATTTTCCAGTCACTCACTTCGGGACAATGGACTTAATATGGCTGGACACTTTATCAGAGCAGGTTTGAAAAGGTGAGTCGTGTACAAGACATCACAGTCCATCAGTCATTGTTAAAGGGCTCCTATCAAGCCAGATAAACTCAAAAGAGGTCTATTTTACATTCATAACTTGTTCATACCCCATACTAGCCTCATTCTGATTGGTTTATATAGCTGTCACTGCAAAGATGAAAAAAGTAAAAAATGTTATTGCCTTTGCCTGGAATGTTCCACAGTATGACATTAAACAGATCTATCCATGAATTACAAGTGTTATTATTGCCTTGAAGAACTATTACTGGGAGTGAGGTTGCCTTTCTGCAAATTTGGTCTGTAATATTAATGCCACACTGTGGAACATTAAAGCAATAACATCTTAAAATTTACAAGTTTTTCTGTTTAAAAAGATAGATACAGACTTGAATTCTACCACTTCATGACATCACAAGGTGGAACAGAGCATTTTAAGATGTAGACAGACTGAAGAATTACTGTGAATGAAATAAAACTCTGGGAATGTTTTTGATGAGGTAACAGCATTCTAACATGGCTTAAAGCTCAATTTAGACAATTTTGTGTAATATAGGATCTTTAAACAAGCAGATGGTGGACCTTAAAACAGAAAAGTTTAATATTACTAAGTTACATTTTAGTACATGTGCACTGATTATAGTGACAGTTGTGTCTAATTCTTTGACACGACTAACACAATAACTCACTAGACCAGAGGTTTTCAATAGATGATGCCCGCCTCCCCTGGGGGGGCACCAGAGAGCCGCTGGGGAGGAGCGACACACACACACGAAGAAAAAATAGCGGTCCACATCTGTACACATCAGTAATTGCGTAGTCCTGTGCGTGCGTGTATTAGCTATAAAATTATGTCGCCATTCTGACAAACTACTCATAGTGTGGAGAGTCACCTTTTTTGCCTTGTATATGCCATGTGGGCCGCGCTTCCTCCCGAACGCAACGTGGGCTGCACCTCTAAACCAGAACTAAAGCAGAACTAAAGCAGAACTAAAATCAGAACTAAAACCAAGACCAAACCAGAACTAAACCTGGACTAAACTCAGGACTAAAACCAGGCCTAAAACCAGGACTAAACCAGGACCAAACTCAGGACTGAACCAGGTCTAAACCAGGATTTATCCTGGACTAAACCTTGCCTCGTTGGAGGGTGGGGGTTGGAGGGGAGTCTTGGCTGTACCTACTCTAAGGGGAAGCTCACATTCACCCAATCTGAAAACCTCTGCACTAGACTGTAAATGACCCATTCTAACTGTAATAAGGCTCAAAACTACAATATTATACATTCATTCATGAATCTTATTTATAATCTCTGATGCAGTTATTCGTCCCAGTGCGATATCTGTAATTACACCAGAGCAACATGTATTTTCCTAAACTCACTCCCCAGCAACTTTCCAATCTGATGTATAAATCTGTGCTCTGAACAAGACTAAGCTGCCATAGACACAGACAGCCTCCTCCTCCCTTTTCCTCTTTACAAATTGGTATCCAGACGCTATCTCTGTCGAGCTCTAGTCTCGCTGTCCGTAGGGGAAAGCCTCTGTGCTACGCCAATGCCTTTTTTGTTTCTTTCTTTCCTTTTTGGAGTTTTCCCTTTGAGTGGAAACGGCGCACGGTGGCTGGATGCTGTGTGGTTGTGAAGGCTGAAGTTCAAAACTGACTGATACAAGTTGTGTATTTGTGTGGTGGTGTGTGGTAAACAGAGTAATGGATTAATAGTTAAAAGTCAACTTAGGACACGGTGAAAAGAGACCAAAGAACTATACAGAGATTTTGTAGTAACTGAATATAAGTTTTTTTGGACTCTTAAAGGTTCTGTATTATGTAAAATTGACTCTTGTGAGCTTTAAGTCATGTTATAGTGCTGTTATCTCACCAAAAACATACCTGGAGTTTTGTTTACAGTGGTCCCTCGCGGGGGTTACGTTGTAAATATAAACCGCAATAGGCGAAATCCATGAAGTAGTCAGCTTGAGCTTTTTAAAATTATTATATATGTTTTAAGGCTGTAAATCACCACACAATTTATACAGTTTTCTCAGACAGGACAGTTACAACCCTTTTTGCATCCTTCTGCTGTTGGCCTTATGTTATATTTCTCCTTCTTTATGTAACGAACCAAAGATTAATTTATTCTGTAAAGGCGCCCTACAGCTGCGTAACTTCTACCTTCCTTCAGCATGTTCAGAAGTCCAACTTTCTGGAGCAGAATGAAATTGTGGATTTTGTCGAGAAGAAAACTTGCAAACATACAGCACTTCAGAATCACACTGTTAGAGATCAAACATTTATGTAAATTTGGCAGCTGAACACATTCTGTACTGTACAGGAGACACGGCACAGAGGAGATTGATTGACAATGGTCTACAGTCCCTTAGCCAATCAGAATGTAGGGAGAGGAACACAATGCGCGTTCATACTTATGCACTAAAAAAAATCTGCGAAACAGCGAGGCCGCAAAAGGTGAACCACCTTATAGTGAGGGACGACTGTATTTCATTCACGCATGTCTGAATAACCTTTTATTATTAGTCTGTTTAATCTCCAAAGCTCAAAACGCCCTGTCACACCTTGTGCTGTCATGAAATTGCAGTTTTTAAGTTTACAGCCACCCTTTAGTTCAGTAGAGATTGGCAATTATAGAGCTGAAACTATGCAGCTCCCGTAAAGGTGTGTGGAGTTTAAAACACGGTGGAGCGCTTTCTGTGTAAGCACGTGACATAAAAAGGTGGAACAGAGTGTTTGAGAGAAGAATTCTCACACAACTCTAGATTTGTTTGTCATGAGGAAACAACATTATAACATAGATCAGAAAATAGGGTTATAATAAAAGACTTTAAATATTTAGAAAGAAAGAAATAGTGTTGAAGTTTTTGGACAGACCTACAATAGACATTAACATTTTTACATTTTTTATGACTAAAATTGGCCTTCTGGTCTTTAAATATTTTTTTATATATGCAAATGTTCTTGATCAGTAGATAAACAACATATAAAGGCATGAAAGCAAAAGAAAAAAGAATAATTTGTATGATTCATGTGTGGTGCTGCTATTTACAAACCAGCCAATAGAATCATAGGCAGTATTGTTGTTGTTGTGTTGTTAAGTGATTAGCGTCAGCATCCTGTGGACTCTGGGGTTGCTCTGAGTGTCTGATGCCCGGCAGTTCTATGGCGTCCTCTCATCTCCCGCTCGTCTCTCCTCTGTTTGGTCTCGTCTGTCACTTCTTCCAACTCTTTCAAGTCTTCACGCTCCGTCTCCGAGGCAACACTCTTTCATTCTCCCTTTCTTAGCTTCCATCTGTCCCCTCTTGCATCCTGCATCGTTTTTGGCTCTTCAAATCTTCCTCCTTGCCCCCTCTTTACCCCGTTTCCTATTCACCAAAATGTGTTAACAATGTTTTTTTGTGTCTGCAGTGGTCCTACGGATTCTACCTCACTCACAACCAGGGACAGAGCGGATTTGAGTTTTTCTTCAAGACTAAGGAGCTGAAGAAGAAGTGGCTGGAGCGATTTGGCATGGCGATGTGAGTGCTGGGCTGCGTGTGTGGTTGTGTGTGTGCATGTGTATGTGTGTGTGTGTGTGTGTGTGTGCGTGACATGTGATAACAGTGTTGGCATCAAAAGACACAGGCATACAGCTCATCCTGTTCTTCTGGTTGGACCACTCGAGCAGAGACACAAGAGGAGACCCGAATCAAAGGCCTCGGTCTGCAAACATGGGGGTGCAAGAGTAAAAGTTTCACAAGCAGAAAAAACAAATACATAAATCTGTAGATATATAAATAATTGGGATGTAACAATAACCGAAACATTGTGATATTGTATCGTCGAAGTTCTCAGAATAATATCGTGGACCATCACAATATAGAGAATTACAAGTCTCTTTGCTTAAATTAAGAGTTATGGTGTAGGTGAGACTTGGATATCGTTACACCCCTAATAAATAAAAAAAAAAACTAAATTAAACACCAATATTTGTTATGAGCACTGGCAAATCATCCACACTTGGCAAACCGCATTATGTCCATCTGCCTGTACTAAATATGTTTTTGTGATATAAATATACAGTACACTATTTTATGAACACATTTAACTCTCAAAAAAATAAGCAAAAATTCATTCTGGTTTTACACAATATTAGCTTCACAATTTGTATCTTAATATTATTAACTGGTAGAGTTGAAGCCCCTCTTTTCAATAAGATGCAATGGTGAATCATTTATAATATCGCAATAGTGATTTAATACATAACTTAAACAATGTTAATGTATTTAAAGCTGTACTATGTAACTTTTCTGATGGAGTTTTCATGAAATATTGCACTGCATGGCTTTACTTTTATTTTATCTTCATGGTGACCACTGTTGCAGTCAGATTGTGTTAATTGCAGTATCAATCAAACCCTCTGTTGTTGAATAGTTGTGAGATTAAGCAGTTAAAGTCATATTTATGCACATTCAAAGCAACATTACCATGGAGACAAGCAAGTGGCGGACTCAGTGCACCTTTGCGTAAAAATTCTGTGTTTCTGGTAACTTCACCTACAACTGCATATTTGCACCACACATGAGTTGTTATTATATTGCATAGTCGACTGAACAACTGTACCACTAACACACATTGCTGTACTGTGTTGCTTAAGTCTGAGCTAAATAATAATGGCCTTTGTTTCTATGGAGACCTAAAATAAGCACTAAATTGCACGTGATGAAACAGTCCTATCCTGTCATCTCTGCCCCAAGTCAGACTCGTGCTGTTATGTAGCGCTGAACAAGTGTCTCAAACCACATGCAAAGACCTATAGAAAAACACAGTCACATTTTAACAGGGCCAAGTCACGAGTGCAGTTTCGCCAACCGTGTTTCATGTACAGGAGGAGTCTCGCTCACAGTTTTCTCAGTTTTAAACCACGAAATAAAGAAGCAGTTAATCTAATTAGACATGTTATATTCATCAAAGAAGAGCAAAGGAACTGAGAGACAAACAATGGGACAATACAGAGCCCAGAGCAAAGTCACAGGCAAACTTAGCCAAAATAGACACAATATTTAAAGCATTTTCTTATACAGTTGTGTGTTTTCATTTACAGTATCATGCAAATTACTGAATGGACACAATGAGATTTTGTTAGCACCCACGTAAAATATGAGATTTATTATTAGAAAAATACTATATCTATCAAGTAGACTACTTTCCCTGCACATTTGCCCCTTGACTTCTCAGTCATGCAGTGGCCTATTGTATGTTTAAAGTCTGACAGAAGAGTTACACAACATCTCAAGTGTGGCCTGTCGGTCTACACAAAACAAAAGCTCAAGTCTGTGCTCAGTGACTTCTGACACAAGTGTAACGGGCGCTTATAGAACACAAATAAAGAAGTTGTCAGAGCCATCCTGTCCATTTTTACAGTCCCAGGTGCACACTCCCTTATGCACACTCTTATGTGGACTTTAATGTGCACAATTTCCTACATGCACACTCTCTCATGTGCACACTGTCCCACATGCACACATTCCCACATGCACACTCACACATGCACACTCTTCCATGTGCACACTTTCCCAGATGTACTTTCTCACATGCACACTCTCCCGTGTGCACTGTTCCATGTGCACACTGTCCCACGTGCACATTCTGATGTGCACATTCACACATGCACTCTCTCCCACATGCACACACGACCTCGTACACACTCTCCTACATGCACACTTTCACATGCACATTCCTACGTGAACACTCCGTTGTACATACTTTCCTACATGCACACTCTCCCACATCTATGCTTTCCCACGTGCACACTTCCGCACACTCTCACATGCACATCCCCTCGTGCACATCTCCCATGTGCACACTCTCCTACATGCACATTCCCACGTGCACACCCCCTCATGCACACTCTCCCTCGTGCACTCTCCCTCATGCACACCATCCCACATGAACATTCCCACATGCGCACTCCCTCATGCACACTCTCCCTCGTGCACACTCTCCCTCGTGCACACTCTCCCTCATGCACACTCTCCCTCGTGCACACTCCCACGTGCACACCTACAGCACAGTCCCCTGGGCCTGAGCACACTTGAGCGTTCACTTGAAGCAGACCTTGCTGGTCTACTTGCACTTCTTTCCTTCGCACTTCAAAGAGCTGGATCTGTGAAAAATGTTTCTGAAGAATAAATATTTGTTGGCGCCGATAACAAGATAAAAAATAGACCAATGTATAAGTGTGGAAAGTGTGGACATGGACAGGGCGTTCAAACTAAAAGGAAGGTTATGTTATATTTTATTATTGCTGAGATTGTCTTGCTAATTATATTCTTTGTTAATTTCTTAGTGTACACACCACATGGGCAGTTATTTCATCTTATCAGCTTGTCTCCATGGAGATGTTTTTGTTTTTACCTATAATATTCCACAGTATGACATTAAACTTATCTATCCCCAAGATAGTCACGAGTCAGGTCTGCAAGTCGCACAGCAATGTATAGTTTTAAGATAATTTTAGCAACCTGTAATTGATGAAATGCAGGACAGATACATTTAAAGTCAAACTGTGGAACTCCATGGAAGCAAACACCACCAGAAACGTTTAATCATTCACAAATCTATTATTTCAGAATGTATTATTTTCAAAACTCTTATAGTGTTTTTCCCCTTTTGTTTAGATCTAACATTCGTCCTGAAAATGGCACCAACAACCACCATGAATTCCAGATGCACACATTTGAGCGGATCACCTCGTGTAACTCCTGCCACATGCTGCTGCGGTAAGACCTTCACCTTCACAATAAACAAACACACAAATAACACAGACTATTATTAATAAACTTAAAGACCGGACAAGACTGCCTTCTGTCACCTCCAGTGTCCCCTAACAGTCTTTTCAGCCCTGAGCCTTCTCCTGTTGGCTCTCGTCTCTCAGCAACACAAGTTTCTCTAGAGTTTGGTGAATAGATTTGGTCGCCCGGAGGAGCACTGAGGTCTGTCACACTCCGGCTCTTCTTCAAGGAGAACACTATTACAGCTCAAATTCACCTGCGCAAAATGAAACACATGCACAAATCCAGACGACAGGGCGCGTTTAAGGGCAGCTATAGCTTTAGTAACTGTTAAATAATTATTGTTCTTTGATGTGAGACACTTGTCTGTACAATGTGAAGGATCCGGATAAAGAATATGTGATTAATGCACAAATTCAATGTTAGTCCAAGTGGCTCTTGTGTGAAGTGCTGTGCAGAAGGTCAAGTGTTGGCTAACCATTTTATATAATGACAACATGATGCAACGTAAAGCAAGAATTATAATAGTAAAATATAAACTATGATAAAAAGCCATGCAAAAATGAAGGTCTTATGAAAATTTGACTCAAATACAAAATACAAAAAAGTGTAAGATTTTGGGTTCATGCAGTACCAAATGAATTGTATTAAGATATTATAATGGGCATAAAACATTTAACAATTTTGCAAAACACATAAGCCTACCAAAGATGTGGCTGGACTTTTGCTGATGGTACAAAATGGCCCTCTGTCTGGTAATTGGCCTGTAGATAAAGTTTATAGATGCTATTAGTGTGTGTAATAGAGTAGATTTTTATGATATTCCAGGCACACCGAATACCTGTTTACAACTTGCTGTTATTGCTGACCCATGCTGATTTGACCTGAAATCTGTTTAGTACAAGTCAAAAGTTTAGACAGAGCCTCTCATTTCTCATTCAAAATTGTTTTCTTTCTTCATTTTAGATACATATGGAATACAGCAAATACATTATGCAAAGAAAAAGTCTAATAACTAAACATGTTTTAGATTTTATATTTCGATTCTCAAAGTTTCCCCTCTTTGCTTGGTGGAAAGTGCTGCAAACCCTTGGCCTTCTCTCAGTGCGCTTCTTGACCAAATCCTCTCAAATGGTTTTGGTTAAGAAATGCAGAAACTGGAAAGCAGTGGTCAAAGCAAAGTGCTGCTATTTTTATTTATTTATTTTTAAAATCTAAAAGAAGTTGAGTTATTTTGAGTTTTTTTTTTTTTTTGCTCCATTCCATATGAGTTCATTCATAATTTTGATTCCTTCAGAGAGAATCTACAATGCAAATAATCATGGAAATAAAGAAGAAAAATAAATGAAGAAATGTGTCCAAACTTTTGACCGGTAGTGTACTAAACTCCCATCATGCATTTTGTAAATTTAGATGCAAACAAGTGGAAAATTTGCACATGTACATTTACGACTGTCCTTTTCAAATACTCATTATAATGCCTTTGATTCTTTCCTCTCTTCTTCTTGCATTGTGGATAGAGCAGTTGTCAGGTTAATGGTGGTTAATGGCCTGATTTTCCTGTTTTTAGGGGAATCTTCTATCAGGGATACCAGTGCCAGAAGTGTGGTCTGGGAGCTCATAAGGAATGTCTGGGACGCTTTGGATCCTGTGGAAAAACAGGTACCTCCACTTATCATGAACTCTGAATTACTACTGCATCTCATATTAAGAATAGTCCATTGGGTTCCTGATACTTTTGTATTCTCTGACACTGCCTTTCTGTGAACTCCAAATGGCTTTTGTTCCTTAGAACTCCTCCAAACAACTTAACTTCAGACAAATATAGACCGACTGACATCTACTGGTGTCATTAAAGGGCCCATATTTTCTGATCTATGTTGTATGTTGTATGTTTCCTCATCAAAAAACATACCTGGAGTTGTGTTTTGTTTCATTCACATATGTTTAACACACAGACCCTGCATATTAAAGATGTTCTTCTATCAAACTGAAAACTCTATTCCACCTTGTGATGTCATGTGGTAATACAGGATGTGCTCCACTGTGTTTTTAAAATCCATACACCATTACTAGAATGATTTAGATAATTTAAACCCTCGAATTACCAATTACTACTAAACAAAAGGTAAAATGTTGCTGTTAACTTGAAAACTACTGCAATGATATATCAAGCAGGAACAGATCATTTTGAGCTTTGGAGCTGTAAAGAGCCTAATAATGGTAGCCAAGCCGACGCCACCTAGTGTCTCCGCTCAATTTCATTTCTGTCCAGCGACTAGGTCAGGAATCAGACTACACTAGACGGTTTGCAAGAACCCTGGAAGTTGTAGACCACACACTGGCCAATCAGAGAAGAGCTGTGAAGCCATGTCTGTGTCCCTTTTGTGGTACAGCACAACAGTAAACAAAGCAGTCCAGATGGATGTAGATGAAGCCATACATTCTGTGTTGGCAACGATTCCAGAGATCGAGGATTTAAAGCCGGAACAAAGAGAATGTTTGGTGAATTTCATCAAGGGGAAAGACGTTATTGCCCTTCTTTTGGGATTTGGGAAAAGCTTATTATACCGTTATCCCCGTTAGCGGCGCATTACATACGTCACGACCAAATAGCAGTGATTGTTTAAATAAAAAAAGTACCCGCTTACCGTCAAGCGAACAAATACTAATGCTATGAGGTCAGATGATTTCCACGAAGTGAAACCGGCTGATGAATCACGCTATAATAATGCAGGATTACTCAAAAATATTTGAATGAAACAAAACACAACTCTGGGTATGTTTGTGATGAGATTACAACATTATAACATGGCTTAATGCTCACACGAATCTATTTCACATAAATAGGTGTCTTACATACTTGATTGGAATTTGGAAAGTCTTTGTAATTATGTTTTTAATGTTCTAAAATAAGCTCTACTTTCCAAAAGATGTTAGTAATTAATAATAATAGTTAATAGTTAATAGTTTTTGAAAAGATATGGCTCCTTTAAGTTGCAGTCTCTTAAATAATTATACTTTTATTACAAAAATCGGTTTCTTTATGCAAGTATTTTAAAAGACAGTTCTGGGACATTTGAAAAGTTTTGGTTTTAAACATTCTTAAGTTTCCCACATGCCCTTTCGTCTACCCCTCAAGGTCGTTCATCTGTTCAATCGCTGATATTCACCAAAAAGCCATCCCTGGACACTTTTCAAAACAGACCCACTTAAAGGCAATGTCAGAGAAGGCCCTCGCAGTCCCCGAAGTTTGAAACTGCTTCTGCGGCGTGGAGTTTTTAAGAAAGTCTTGACATTTTTTTGCGTGCCCCTGTTGTGTGTCTGTCAGTCTGGTGTAGAGCAGTGACAGCTTCAGAGGAACGCAGGGAGAGCAATGCATTAAAAAACACGAGCCACGATATGCTAGGTGGCAAGAAGAGATTCAGTGTTTTAGAACGTGCATTTGTGAAACTAAATTGTGCGTATGAAAGATATACTTACCATTGTGCATTGTTGCTTTTGTCAGAATGTTGTGCATTTTTAGTGTCGCTGGTTCAAAATAATACTTAAGTGTATATAGTCTACAAGTAGCTAACACACTATTCAAAAAGTTTATTGTCAAATTTCCGTATGAACATATGAAAAATTTAAATTATGTTCTCACTTTCAATCTTCTAAATTAAATAATAATAAAATAATACCATACCAAATAATACCACTACCATATAATCTTTCATCTATAATTTTAATAAATGACTGCATTGAACTCCTTCTTGTACTATTAACTCTACATCATTAAAATTTCCGATTTTTTCTTGTGTTACAATTTGTACTTCAACAGCTTCCGGCTCCATTGACTCAATCGACTTTACATTGAAAAATTGTCACCTCCGCTCTCTCTGTAACTGCTCCAGTGAGCCTCGTCATTTTGGTCCTAAAATGTTCATAATAACTCACTTTACATGACCCTGGTGTTTTTATTTCACTATTTTTAACTAAAGATTAATTTAGATAAAGATGGAACGGCTCCAAATTTGCTCTTGTAACCTAACCTTTGTAAGCATCATTTGACTGGAGCCGAACACTATGGGTGACGTCACACTCCCGTTGTCCACTTCTTTATACAGTTTATGTTCCTGTGTCAGCGAATCAGTCAGCAGTTTTATTTATCCCAATAACGCGACTCAGATTGGCAAGGCAAGGGCAAGGCAAGTTTATTTGCATAGCACAATTCGCACGCAAAGTAATTCAAATTGCTTTACAGAATAAGAAATACATTAAAATCACAATAAAAACAAATCAAAACATAAATAATCATCATAAAATTAAAAAGAGAGAGAAACATTAAATTAGAGTGAAGAGTGCAGAATGAAAAATGCAAACCTTTCAGTCATATGCACAGCTAAACTGGACTGTTTTGAGCCTGGATTTACATATTGTCTCACATCTTCAGGAAGACTGCTCCAGGTTTTAGTTGCATGAATCTGATTGCAGCTCTTTTCACGCCAACAAGCCAGTCTATGAGCAACAACTTCATATTTAACTTTACAGCAAAACGTGCATGATTTATTAATAGTGAGCGATTGTTCAGTTCTAGACATTCCTGCATATGGATAAATCTCTCTTCAGATTTGTGCTTGCGTTTCAAAGCCTGAGCAGATCTGGCTGTTGACACGTAGCAGAGCAGGACACACATGTGTTTGTGTGGACTGAGATAAGCCTTTGTTTACCTGTACTTGTCTCTGTTATCAGCTGCTGTTTGCGTAACAGGCTCAGAGTTCAGCCCCAGCCCTGCAGAAAGAGCACGCTTAACACTACGCTAATGTGTGGCTGTCAGCTGTGTGTGCGTGTGTGTGTGTGTTTGTCAGTGTGTGCGTCTAAGTCTGTGTGTGTGTGTGTGTGTGTGTGTGTGAGAAAGAGAAGGGGGTGTAACCTGTCCTCTGGGAGCCAATGAAAGAAACTACTGAAGCACAAAGCACACTTACCCCCGCCCGCTTGTTACCTGCCCTTAGCGCGCCTGTCAGGTACTAGCAGCCAAACAAACTGCCCCATCGCTCGGTCAGACGGAGCGCGTTTTCTCCGCACTAATGAGGGACTGTTGTCTTGTAGCTAGCGCGGCGTGCAGATGCTGCCGTACGCCCGGTGCTAACCTGTCACTCACCACTCCTGTTCTCAAACTTCTTTCAGATCCGGGCTCCATCAGAACTCAGGTGAGCGGCTGCCTCCTCTGCTCTGTTGTTCTGTCTCTTCTGGAAAGGTTTGCTACACTTTGAAGACAGCTCTCTCCCACAGCGCTGAGGAGAAGGGAGAGAAAGCCAATTGACTGCAAGCTCCACGCGATGCCAGGAGCGAAGTGATTCTCAGAGCGTTAGCCATCCATCATGCGCCGTGTGCTACATTACTCCAAATATGTGTAGACAGAGAGATCCAAACACAGGCTGGAGAGGGCATTGATCACCGGTTGAACCTTCACTTTGCGGATTGTATTTCCATGCATCATCGCAGCATTAGCTCATAGTGACATCAGTTTTTATTTTGGGTGTCAACCTCGGCACGCTGACAGGGCCAAGAGTTCTCACCTTGCAGGAAAAAATGCACATACACTAGAATTAATATGTTAAAGTTTCACTGTGCAACTTTTCTGGTGGAAGGTGCAGCTGCTTGTCTTTATGTTTGTGCTTTTGCATAAAAAAGTCCACAGTATGGCTTTAAACCTGTCCACAACATGCAACAATGCATTCTCCTCAAAGCATTTTTGATGCATAAAAGCAACACACGTAAGTAAATGCAAGGTAAGTTTAATGCCATACTGTGGAACATTCCAGGCAAACACCATGTGGATGACATTATAAATTAGGGGTAATAAGATATACTTCTTCCTATCCCGTTTTTAGCTATTTATTTTGTATGTGCTGTGCGTTCTTAAATTTTAAAATGTTCATGGGTACAAACACGCTACAGAAAAGTTACATGTTACATCTTTGCATAAACAATTGGATTTTTTTAAACATTGATTACAATTTAAATGGATTTTGCTATGCTTTAAATGCAGTTCACATTTATTTTTTCTCAAGAAACAAACATTAGTCGTTCAAACGATAAGAGTCCAGTCTGCTGTTTACAATAAGATTTATCTGGACTCATGCTTCAAACGTTCCATTGAAAGTGCATGCTATAGATGTACGTAGACGTGAACTGCTGGCATTGCACTCTGATGTTCTAGTGCGAGGCTCTATTCTCTGTCTCATTGTGGTGAATGATTACCCAGTGACCTTGTTACCACTGGATCGAAAAGTTCTCCATTGTGTTGTGATTGTGTACAACTTTGTCTAACTTTATCTTCTTTGTGTGTTTCTCTTTCTTTGCAGAACAAGGATAGAGATACAGGTGAGAGAACTCCTCTGCAGACCCCATGCTCCCTCTCTCACATTATTGTTGTCTTTGTTTACGTTTGCGCCAACAATACTTCTCAAACTTCTAACCGCTGTCGTGCACTAAAGGCGTCTAGGCTCAGAGATGCTGCTCTTTTTGTTTCACAGGAACATTTGGAGGTAACTTTGCAGAGGGAGAGAGGAAAGACCAGGTTTTAACTCCACTGCAGGATTCAGCAATGATTTTAAGAGGACAGTTTGTGGTGTTTTTAGGAATTTTGTGCCCACTAATTATGTATTATTAGATAGACAGATAGATAGATACTCTTGATCATAAAGGAAAATCATGTTTTATTTATTTATACAAAAGCAATATATTGTTTAAACTTGAATCCAGAAACCTGCAATAGGAGTATATAGCAATATACACATTTATGTTTATTATTACAGCATATAGATATTAAAGGTGCACTATGTAACTTTTTTGAAGGAGAGTCACCCACCTGCTCGTCTCCATGGAGATGTTTAAACTGTTTAAATGTTTTTTGTTTTTTTTTTGTTTTATTAAACCCATCCATCTTACATCAGTTACATATGTTTATATAGTAAAAATAAAGAACAAAGAGAAAAAAAAACTTGAAAAACCTGACCTGTAACTTGGCCTGGCTCCTGTTTCTATAAAGATAGAGACCTTTAATGCCAGACTGGAACATTGTAGGCCAAGCATTAACATCTCCATGGATACAAGCAGGTAGTGAACCCCCACCAGACACATTACACTGTGCACCTTTAAGTCAGATGCCCTTCTTCTTTTGGTTTTGGCTTAAGTTACATAATGCCCTACCTTTTTTGGATTTTTTTTTGTTGTTTTGTCACATTCTCAACAAGGGATGTAACGATATCCAAATCTCTCGGTACAATATTATCACGATATGCATCTCACTGTACGATATTTATTGCGATATTTTAGAGAGGCTAATGTAATTGTAGATAGGACACGTTTCTGCTTTTAAAATACCTTGACAAGATTTTGGTGTGAATTATTCCCATCATAATCCTAAGAATTCAAGTAAAAAACATATTTATTTATGTTGTTTGCACTGAAATGAATCATGGTATATGTAGTTTCCGGTGTTTTTAAGATATTGCTACTGTAAAACAATACATATAAGCAAAGAAACTTGTAATTCGATACACTGTGACAGCCCACGATACTATTGTGAGACTTTTGACGATACAATATCATGATATTTCGGTTATTGTTACATCCCTAGTCCTACCAGTTCTCTTTCTGCTAGTCTGAAGCCTGGTTAAAAGTCAAACTGCACCTGTGAAATAATCCCAAATAACTAAGTGCATACTCAGTTTATTATAAAAGCGTAATAGAAATAGATGGATTGAGATATGTTTTGATAGCATTAAATGTTGCCTGTACATTGCGATGCAGTAAAAAGCATATCTAAACTACATTATTAGCTGCTGCGTGTTTACCTCACCCCTGTAGCTTTCCTGTATACAATATTTTCTCTATGAATATGCCGAACACCGTGCATCCTCTCCACTCGTGTGTCTAAATGCCACAGAAGCCCTTTAATCTCTCATAACGCTGCCTTCAACCGCTATTTCTCCACACCTCCGTCCATTATGCCTGTGTAAATCATTTCTGACTGAAGACGCATTAAAATCAATAGGCGTTTGATTGGCCCGGACCCGTGACATTTCATAATACTCCATAGTTGTTTGCGTATTTGTGTCTGTATTTCAAAGGCGCACAAACGGACACACACGCTAACACACACACATGCGTTGTCCTTGCAGTGGATTGGAATGCAATACGTGCCCCCAAGTCGCAATTCTCCACGGTCTCTCCCAGTGTCTTCAGAAGTCATAGTGAGGCGAGCTCGCACATGTCAGACCGCCAGCTCCTCCATTGCAAAAGAAACTAGACCCTGAAAGCAAAACAGCAAACTCGCATAGAGATGTATTAGCCTTCAATACAATGTTGACTTTCCCATTATGCGCCTTTAGCCTTATCCCTTTCTTCACGCTCCCAATTGAATGCAAGCCTGTGCCTCTGCTGTATAGAGAAAGATACACGCATACAGTATATTTCATCCCATTGTAAACGTGAGATAGGAACACGGTGTTTGTCAGGGTTTACTAACTGTATTAAAGGGTCCATATTATGCAACTTTCTGATTTATCTTATAATGTTTCGTGATGAAAAAAAAAAAGAAAAAAAACATACTTGGAGTTGTGTTTTGTTTCATTCACATTTAAACATATAATATTTTTTTTTAATACTTTTTTATTTATTCAGTTTTTCAAGTTTTGTGTAGTAAAAAACAAAAATAAACAAATACAGCCAATACAAAGCTTGGGGCAATGTTCTACGGAAGCTGGAGGGGTCATAACAAACGCAAACGCCGCAACAAATACAAACGCAACATCACAAATGCAAACTCCACAACACAACAAAAAGCCACGACAAACCAAAAAGCCACAACAGAAGTGACCTGCGGGACTTTTACTTACATTTCCAACTTCATTCACTTCTCCATTCCTGTACTTTTCACATTCTTGTTCTTGTTCTTCAGCTTTTCACATTCACTTCCCTCTTGATCGTTTAACGCTTCGCTTGGTCTGTCGGAAAATAGAGTCCCATGGTCACTTACATTGTGGCATTTTTTGGTTTGTTGTAGCGTTTTGTTGTGTTGTCGTGCTTGTATTTGTTGGGGCATTTGCGTTTGTTATGAGCCCTCCCGGCTTCCGTACTGTTCCACTGCATTAAGCATGTAGAAGGGTGGATCAAGTCTCTTTTTGTTAATATTTCAACCATTTTGCCCAGTTTTTAATAAAGAATTGTCCTTTGAGTCGTAGAGAAAAAGTCGTTCCATGGAATATCATTCTTCTATAATGTCTAGCCACTGATTCACTGACGGTGGGTTGTTTTTAAGCCAGTTTCTTGTTATTGCTTTTTCTGATGCCAATGTCAGAATTTTAAAAAGGTATCTGTCCGCCTTTTCGATCACCTCTCCAGGCAGAAGGCCTAACAAAAATATCTCTGGGTCCTTGGGGACAGCATAAGTCAAGATCGTATCTGTTTTTCCAGACACATTGTCCCAGAATGATTTTAATTTTGTGCATGTCCAAAAAACATGAGCTCGACTGTGTTTTTAAACTGCATATACCTTCACTAGAATCATTTTGATATGTTCAGTCCTGGAATTGCCAATCTCTTCTGAACAAAAGGTAAAATGTAGCTGTTAACTTGAAAACTACCACTACATGACATCACAAGGTGGAACATTTTTGAGTTTTGGAGATGTAGACAGAGTAATAATAAAGGATTACTCAAACATGTGTGAATGAAACAAAACACAACTCCAGGCATGTTTTTGATGAGGTAACAGCATGGCTAAAAGCTTACAAGAGTCCATTTTGCATTATGTACCACCTTAAAAATGCACTTGAACTATTTTGTGCATGAAGTTTGAACATTGCCCATGCTTGCAACTAAATCATGCTGACTTGAACTATAAAAAAGCAGGTCTAGCTTGTTTAAATGTACTATCAAGCCAAAAACAATATTTGACAAAGTGAACGAACCAGTATTTTTCAATTGCCCCTGGCGCTGGTTAACACTTGACAACTATGTATGCGTTAGATAACCACAAATGGGAGGAGACTGATCGGAGATAAGATGGAAAATAACTGCCTTGTGACATGCTTTAATAATTATCATTATAATATGATTTGAAATGCAGCTGCAATTAACAGATTTAACATTACTGAGGTTTTGTATCTGATTTATGCATAAGACTTAACCTCTAATCTGTAGGATAAAGCAGTAAGTGCACTGGATTAAAGAAAAAGAAGGGAGCTTTTGTTCAACTTTATAATACAAATGTGAACCTTCACTCACTTTTTCACACACACCAGCTTATTCGATGTTTGCTTCTTTATGTTTGCAACTTATATACACACAGAAGACTTCAAATATATGAAGTAAGATATATGGAATTCGGTAGTAAAGATTCTTTCTTTATGTATGTATTTATTTCTTTTTCGACAAAGCAAAGGCTGACTGCTTTGAGATTTCAATATGGAATGAAATAAATAAAAACATTTTGAGTTATTTAACTTTTTTCTTTCCTTTGCAGCATAATTCCATATATCTTACTTCATCCATTTGAGGTATAAATTATGTAGAAAGCAGCAAAAATAACTGGGAAAAACACTGAATGAGATGGTGTGTCAAAACCTTTGAAAGCCTTTGACTTGTAGTGTAGTTTTTGATTCCAAGATAATATAAATATGGAGACAATGCATAAGGAAGGGCATCTGATCTAAAACCCACAGTATAAGACAGAGAACTATAGTGTTTTGCAGTTCCAGTGTTAGCACTATGCTTGGGTTAAACTCACCAGTTGCAGCTAAATTTGACCTCTCTTTATCATATTTGAGCTCCAGACATGGCTGCTGTTATCAGCTTGTAAACAGATAAGGGAAGTGATAAGGAAAGTGCTCTAGATTTGCTGGCAACAGGCGTGTTTATGGTCTGTGTAATATAAAAATATGTTTTGAACAAATATTTTCAAGTTTAGTTCAATTTGAGCCAAACCCATGCTCAATAAAAAAGAAGTAGCTGCAGCAGGAGAAATAAAATAGTCATGCCAAATTAGGAAAAACACTATATTGGAAAGCAGATAATTGCTTAATTAAAAAAAAAAAAAAAAAACTGAAAAAAATCTATTTTAAAAAAATGGAAAAAATTGGAAAAAATAAAAATATAAAAAATTGAAAAATGACACACATACAGTTTATCTTAATATAGTTTTTACAACAATAATCCTAATATTGTTTTGTTTTATCTAGGTTTGCCTAAGATGGTGGTCGTCAGGAACTACTTTGGGGTCCCCAGTCCTGCGTCTGGTCCACCCCTGAACATTCAAACTGGAGACATCATCGAACTCATCTGTGCAGATCTACACAGTGCATGGTGGCAGGTGAGATTTCATTCATTTATTTCCACGGTTTTGGTTAATTGGCCTATTTTTAGAAGTAGACTGTTACAAAAAGGTTTTGTTGGCTGACTGTTTAAAGTAGTTATTATTAGGCGGGTGGCTAGCGATAGAAAATTATAGACTGTAACAACATGTAAACAAGACAAACCACAAAACAAAAAAGTTGGCACGCTACCTCCTTTTGCAAACGCTAACCTCACGCACATGTGCTTTTAAGCAAGTAATTATAGCAGCAAGACAACACAGAATCAGATTGAAAACACTAATTAAGTAAATACAGACGGGTTAGGCCAGAGCCAAATGGTTATGAGTTTGCTGGATTGGTAGAGTGGTTAGTCCTGATGCTTTTTAGTTATGGTTATGATGTTATGTGGTTTGTGTGATACTCGGTCTTGTCTTAGGGTCTTTTATCTTCCACCATCATCTCATTAATTGGTTATTCTAAATTAGCGTCTGAAATTATTGCAAGACAGTTAAAGTTGTATGATCTAATAATATAAAGCATATTTAAAGGACAAAATTAAATTATCGGGGTGGGAATTGACAGAATTTTCACAAGACGCGATTTTGAAATAATTTGCAATCATCAGATCAATTCACAATTTTGGTCACATGATTTAAAATTGGGTTTGTTATTTATATATTGTGGTGTGAATGTATTTTTATGTGTTGATATATGATCTCACATGATTTGTCTTTCTATTTACGTACAGAGTAATGGCAATTTCTGTAACTTATCCAAGCTAAAAATGGTTAAGGAATGAGTTAAAACTTTATTGAACTTACCTGGCCAGACAGCACCGCACCCTTTAACAAAACTTTATTAAAAAAAATTAGTCTAGAATGTATCCTGTCTCCCTGATTTCAGAGGCGTGATTGACAGGTGGATTAATCAATTAGAGAGACACATGGTCTGTAAAAACAAACATGACGGTTTAGGTGTAACAAAGGAAGAAAAAAAAAAATCAGCGACACAAGACTGAGAAACAGCGCAGATTTTTGCAGAACTGACAAACAACTTAAAAGAAGTTATATATTGTGCTCTGAATGCTACTAGAATTTTGGAGAGGAGATGTCTTCCGCATTCGAGAGACACGTGATCTAAATTAGCAGCTGTGGTTGGATCATGTCAAGTTTCAAGTTGGTTTTTCACACTCTATTGTCCGATTCCAGACCTTCTGGAAATCAAACAGAATGCAGAAGAAACTGGTTGGTCAAGCGAACTTTAAACAAAACTGTAAAGATATAATTGTTTATTAAGGCAAAGCAAGTTTATTTGTATAGCCCAATTTGTGCAATAAGTAATTCAAAGTGCTCTACAGAATAAGAAAGACTTTAAAATCACAATACAAACAAATAAAACATAAATAATCCCCATAAAATGAACATTAAAAGAGTCATATGCACAGCTAAACAGAACGTTTTGAGCCTTGATTTAAACACCACACTCCACACACTATCACAAGACACAGTAACAGCAAAACATATGAACAATATCAATTAAATAGAAACTACACACATTCTATATTGTGTGGATAAACAAGTCTTGAAATAAAAATGCACTTAACCCCTTTAGCCGCCCCACTCAAGCACACAGCATATCCAGTAAACATTCAATATCCATCACCTTTGGAGGCAGCCGGCCATAATCGTTTCTGTTCGGGGGGATGCGTGACAAATCCAATCGATGGCTGTAATTTCATTTCATTCAGCAGCGAGCATCTGTTTACTCTGTCAATGGGAGCGGCTGGAATCATTATCACACCCTTAGCAAGCCAGGGTGAGGAGAGAAGGAGGGGGAGGAGAGGAGAGAGATAGAGAGAGGGAGGAAGACAGGGGGTCCAGTGGTACAGTCTTGAGGAGACACAGGACTTAATTTCATGCAGACTAGGGTTGTTAAAATATTGAAAATCAGATATTAATCGATAGAATTATTATCACACCCTTAGCAAGCCAGGGTGAGGAGAGAGCGAGGAAGAGGATGAGAGAGGAGAGAAGAGAGGAAGAGGAGAGAGGGAGTCCAGTGGTACAGTCCTGAGGAGGCAGAGGGCTGGGCAGACTGGGGGAGTGTAGCCGTAACTGAAACCATGACGGAGATGTTCAGACAGTTCACTCCATACAGACTAAAATCTGATACTAATCGATATAAAAAATAATATCGAAACTAGATACACATTTGAGCAAGTATTGAAACAGATCACATTAACAGGACAAAATTTAGCCACATTTTTATCTTGCACTTTTCCCCCTTAAAGGCACTCAACACACTTCTGAGCTGTTCTGAACAGTTTTAGTATAATTTTGAGCTTTATCAGATGAATAAGGCTTCACGCAAAGATAAAGAAAGTACTATTAGAAGTAATTATTTTGTATATAAAAAATTACATTCTATTAGGAGTATTTTTAGTCTTCATTCTGTTATTGTAATCTGTATACAGTATTGAATTTCTTACTGTTGAAATCGAATTTATAGCATCATGACAGCTAATGAAGACTTCACTTCTGCACAGGGAAGATAGACCATTCAAATTAAATGTATATTGATTATTTTTTACTTATTCATCTAATTCCAATTTAGAAGTTACAGTAGAAACATATACTAGGTATATCATGTTATATAATGGCAAGCGAAGTTTATTTTTAGAGCACAATTCTGAATTCAAACTGCTTTACAGGACAAGAAAGATGTGTAAAAATCACAATACAAACATATAAATGCATTGATAGTAATGACCATTAAATAAAATTAACTTTGGAATAGAAGACTGCAGAAAAAAATGATCTAAAGAGCTAAACAGAACCATTTTGTACTTAAATGTAAGCATAGTCAGAAACTGGTTATGGTAAAAGTTGTTTTTACTGCTGCTAATACTTTTTAAAAAGGTGGACTGGGTAATAATAAAATATCGAAACAGATCCTGAAGATGAATTGGCAAAACAACTTGTAAAGACTCTTCAACAGGGAATACTTAAAGCCACAAGTGTTTTCATATCACATTTTTTTATCGTACAAACAGGAAAACTGCAACTTTATTTTCAAAGTAAATCACCTTTAGTTGCCAGGTTGGACTAGACCAGATCCCCCATTAACCCAACTCAATTGGACAATGGATTCTTGAGGGAAATACTCTTCACTTTTCACATCTTTCACATTCAAATTTGGTGCAAATAGTGAAAATTTCAAGCGATTTCTTCTCCGCGGAAGACACCAAAACTGAGTTACTGTCCCGTGTGAATAGCATATTTTCATTTTATTTTCAAGCAAACAGCATCAGGCCACACATTTCAAACTTCATAAAACCGTGGTCTATTTTGTGTTTATAAATCTTGACACTGAGCGGAGAAAGTTGTCACCATGGGAGACATAAGGAAGTAGTCAGCCTTTCTGTGTTCTTCCTGCTAGCTGCTATTTCAACAATGGTTAACCAGAGCTGTAAATTTGCACTGTGGCGTATGGGGAGCTAATCGTCTTTGAATTATGTACTTGGAGTCAGCCAGATGCAAGTAACGCAATTATCTGTCTCTGCTTTCAGGGCAAAATCCTGTCGACAAAAGAAGTTGGCTTTTTTCCCAGTGATGCTGTGAAGCCCTGCCCTTGTGTAAGCGTTCCTCTCTTCTTGTTTTCGTACCAGGGCGTGTTGTGGCGATGTGTGTTTGGCAAAGATGAGAGATTGAGAAGATTCAGTGACAGAATGGAAAGTTAGATTAGGTAAGCGTTGGAACAGACACAAAGTAATGTTCCAGACAGGTAAAAAGGAACTCAGTGTTTACAAAGAAAACATAAGAAATACTGAAAATTGGTGATCAAAATGTAAAATATTCTATTAAAAAGACTGAAAATCAATCACCTTTCGCAACTGAAAAAGCAACAACAGAGGAAAATGTGGTGCACTACTTTTTGTCGCCATGGAGATGTTAATGATTTGCCTGGAATGTTCCACAGTATGAAACAAAACTTCTATATTTCACAAATTTCCAGGTGTTTTGAAGAAAATACCTTGCTTTTGTACCGCGAGTGTGGTCTCCTCTCCACAGATCTGATAAACCTATTGGCATCATTTGCTTCATCATCTGCGTATCCATGGAGATAGATGAGCGGCATATTGAGGAACATTTCAGAACATCTCCATAGAGACAACACAGAGGAGGTGGCACTCCAAGAAAAGTTATACAATGCATTTTTAAGTTAGTATTTTTGGTTGATCTCAGAAAAGTTACAGTTCATTACAAGCTGTTTTCATTCTTTATTCTTTACTGATTTAAAAATGTCACCCTAACATTACCTCACCTCTTTGCCACAATATTGTGTATGACTAAAATGCTCCATATATTAACTAGAGCGTCAGTGTCAGCTGTATACGGGGCTTATCACTGTAATTGTAAAGATAAAACTACAATTACATAGCTTTACTGCAGTCATGTACAGTGAAGTAAAACTGCACTGTAAAACTGCATTTCACTGCAAACAGATGGTCCGGTGAAAACTTTATGGAAACAGACTCAAAACAATGATTTGCTCTTTGCTCCAGGTACCAAAACCCATAGACTACTCCACTCAGCCCTGGTAAGTTCATAATAAAATCACATAAAAAAGTCTGAATAGTGTAATATACTGTAAGTGTTTTGTAACTGTTATGGTGTTCTTGTAGGTTTGCAGGCCCCATGGAGCGCTTTCAAGCTGAGGCAGAACTCATCAACAGGGTTAACAGCACGTACTTGGTCCGACATCGCAGCAAAGAGTTCACAGAGTACGCCATCAGTATCAAGTAAGTCCAGTGTTTCAATAGTAATATCACGTTACATTTGTATAGGCCTGTCACGATAACACGATATTTCGATACAGAGAAATATTGCGATAATATTGAAACTACTTTATCCCACTGACACAGTAACAATAAAGCAGGATAATCCCAGTGATCTATTTTTAAATAGACAGAATCATAAAAATTAACACACTGCAGCAAATGAATAGCAGAATGAACCAAGAAGTTGCCATAGGAGTTCAGCTCTCTACAGCTCAAATCTTACCATATTATAAGAAAAATAACACAAATTTTCCCACTATTTTTAAGCAAATGTACTCATGAAAAATACTGAACCCCAAAATATATCGCTCCAGCTTGTATATAATTAAATGATGTCAATATAGTGTTTATCATGACAGGCTTAGTGTAAGATATTTAAATGTACACAATATGCATTATTTATTCACTTTTTACTAAGGATGTAACAATAACCGAAATATCGTGATATCATATCTTCAAAGTTCTCACAATAATATCGTGGACCATCAAAATATACCGAATTACAAGTCTCTTTGATTAAATTAAGAGTTATGGTGCAGCAATAGCTAAAAAAAGACAGAGGGAACTAAATAGACCATGATCCTTTGCACCATTTCAGTGTAGACTACATGAAGAAATAACAGTTCTAATCACTTTTATGTCCCAGTTCTTTGGATTAAATCTTGTCAAGGCATTTTAAGAGGAAAAAGTGGCATATTAACGGTTTTGTTAGCTCCACAAAATGTCACTGTCACAATAAATATTGTACTGAGAGATTTGGATATTGTTACATCTCTAATCGTGAGCCTTCCCAACATATCGTGAGCTTTCCCACGATATCGCAATAAATATGATATCATGAGGTTCATACCTTGACGATATTGTATCGTGAGACTTGTAAAATTGTTACATCCCTACTTTTTACCCATACTGCAACCTGTTCACCATCAATTACTCACACATATTGGATTTCCATTCTTTTTGGGAACATTATATTTAACTGCATTCATTTCCAGGAGACAGATTCTGACCTTAAAGGGCCCATATTACGCTCTTTTCTGATCTATTTTATAATGTTGTGTCCTCAAAAACATATCTGGAGTTGTGTTTTGTTTCATTCACATGTTTAACACAAAAACACTGCATATTTAGGCTACACTACACTCTTCACTAGAATCATGTGGATGATTTCAGTCCTGGAAATGCCGATCTTTACTCTATACCGTGGGGGAAGTGTATTGCCCAAGGACAAAATGACAAAAAACAGTGGTCTCAGCTACAATCACAGTGAACACTCTAAAAATATTCTGATATATTCTAATTATCCACATCATTGAAACCAAGATAAACACTAAAATAATGATGTGATTCTTGGGCGCAGACTTGCAGCTCTGCTTAACTTGACAATAGCACTTAAAATCCAATCCAAGATACCCATTCATAATTCATTATAAGTGTGTTCTGACTGTCTCTGTGGTTTATCACATCTTTATCCAGACCACAGTATTGACCACATCCAAGTCCCAGTTCTGCCCTCACTTAGACCATGGTTTAGATTTTCTCTGAGGTCAAGACACTGGTTAACCACAGTGAGGCTTCTAACTGACCAAACTATATGCAATTACAAATCCTTTTTCACATGTGAGGAGTCCCAGTCCGTTTGTTTGAAATGAAATATATTTTGATCAAATTCTGTGTTGATCTCGACCAGTTAAGCAGTGGTTTGAGGACACCATTTTGTAACCCCAGGGATGCTAATTAACATTTTAACTGTAAGATGCTCTGATATGCTTTCCCAGACAAATTAAACATTTATTAGAAACTATAATTAGACTAACGAAGTATGACGATATAAAACGGTATTTGCAAGTGCACTTCAAACGAGCATTTATTCAACAGATTTATAAGAGATGTTCAAAAAAAAGGTGAGAGTGACTAACTGAAAAACAGTAGACTATTGCAAATGTTAGAGATTAGTTTAAAAGCACAAATCTCCTCATCTCTCTGGTCAGATTGTGTTAAAATAAAGCTAAAATTAAGTCCAATTTGAATAACAGAGCTTCAGACAGAGCAGTGCTTTCAGTTCAGATTACATCATCTTAAAGGGACAGTTCGGAGTTTTGGACATAGGGCCTCATTTCCTAGTGAGTGTTGGAGACACTTTTTTAAATATTCCATCCAGTCCTTGTGTTTGCAGAGGTCGCTGGTGCTAGGCTAGTGTATGTCAATGGCCATAGTTATCCTGCCACTAAAAACAATCTTACCCACTCCACAAAACACCTGAAGCAAAACAATTATTACACCTGTCGATGTGAATGTCTGTGTTGATAGAATAATGTTTGAAATGAAACTAACCTTGCATCGCGTGAATCGTCAGATGTTGAGGGACTATTTTCTCAAGGTTGGTTTTACTTCTAAAATTATTCTATCGACACAGACATTCAAATCAACAATCTGGCATTATAATAGTTTTACTTTGTGGAGTGGGTAAGACTGTTTTTAGTGGCAGGTTAACTATGGCCACTGACATGCACTAGTCTAGCACCAGCGACCTCTGCAAATACTGGATGAAATATTTTAAAAACTGTCTCCACATGTCTTCAACACTCTGGCTCACTAGAAAATGAGGTCCTATGTTCAAAATTCTGAACTGTCCCTTTAAGGCTGTGCAATTAATTGAATTTTGATCACAATTTCGATTTGCGGGTCAAACTATCTCCAACCTCATATAATTGAGTTGAAACAATTTAAAGCTTAACAAACTTCATTTTGGGATATTTTTATATATAAATGTATATTTATTTAATTTTTTACATATAGAGATTGTAGAACAGCTGGATATATAGTTTATTTTGGATACATTTATGTTTTTTTATGCCTTATTTCATGTTCAAAGTATATTTTATTCAGTTTTAAACATCGCAAAACTGCTCTAAGGTACATATTTGTAGCCTAAACTGTATTTATTTTCAATTTGAATGTTTTGCGTAAATTATCAATAAGTGTTTTTTTGAGAAAGAAATTCTGAATAAATGCATCGTGTAACTAGAAAATAATCGTTTCAATAATTGTGACTTCAATATTGACCAAAATAATTGTAATAATTTTTTCCATAATCAAGCAGCCCTACATCAGCTTCAAATATCAGTAGTATACGATGTCTTTTTATCCTCTGTCATTGTAGTGTGATGGTCTCCACTCATATTCCATAAAATTGTATGGTTGAACATGAATATTTTAAGATTATGTCACTTATGCTTGTCTAAACTGTGCACTAAAAAAACTTGCTGCGTTTAAAAGTACTACTCTGGATCTCACAGGAACACTTAAAGTCCTGAGTCTAAATGTACATTATAATGGCTCCACCGCCCACTCCACTTGAATAAGTCTGTTCTTTTGCATATCCTCGGCTCTGAGAAAGTCCATTGCAGTTCAGTCAGTGCGTAATTACTATGAGGAGCAGACAGAGCAGCTGAACAGAGCGGAGTGTGACTGTAACACTGTCTGAGGGACCACTATAGCCGGAAGACACTATTGAATATGGAAGAAAGTTTTAAAATACAACTTCTCATTTTGGTATTTGGTAGTAAGAATGTGCAATTAACTGAGTTTGAATTCAATTGAGATCTAGAAGTGTAAATTAAAATGGTCTATATTACACTATTGTGTTATAATGTAATTCCTGGAGTTGTTTTGTTTCATTCACACATTTTTAACACACAAACCTGCATATTCGGTGTGAGTTCTCTCTCAAACAGAAAACATGACATTTCTGTTCCACCTTGTGATGTCATGTGGTGATGAAGAAACTGCTCCATTGTGTTTTTTAAACATCATATACCTTCACTAGAATCATTTGGATCATTTCAGCCCTAAAATTGTCCATATCTACTAAACATTTATTAAAGGAAAAAGGAGCTGTTAACTTGAAATCATAACATCACAAGGTGGAACAGAGCACATTTTGAGTTTTAGAAATGTAGACAGACAAATAATAATAATAAAGGATTACTCCAGTGGCGGAGTTTGCAATTTGGGGGCTATAGGTTAACTTGACTTGGGGCCCTCAATATAATGCACCGTTTTTCTGTTTTGTTTTGTTTTTTTAACCATTTATTGTATGTTTTTCCCCATTGTTCTTGAGACATGCACATTTCAATTTATTTGAATTATGGTGGATGGAAAACGTGTCTTTTTATTCATGTAGCCTACCAGATAACCAGAACTGATGTAGTTTTATTTTTTTGCTAGTCCAATTATATTTTTGTTTACATCAATTACATATGATTATTATTATTTTTCTTATGGTTATTGGTTAAAAGTAAACCACTCTCGTTTAATGTCATATTGAGAGAAAATCAAATTGCTCTGAGGCCTCTGCCATTACCGGCACTGAGGGCAATTGGTTGGGGCCCCTCCAGGTTTGGGGGCCCGAAGCAGCTGCCTACATTTGCTTAATGGTAGCGCCACCTCTGGATTACTCAAACATGTGTGAATGAAACAAAACACAACTCTGGGTATGTTTCCTGGGGAGGTATCAGCATTATAATATGACTAAATGCTCACAAGAATCTATATTGTTAAGTTTGTTCGTCTTTTTTTTTATATATATATATATATATGTCACCATACAACATCGCAATTTCTTTCTGTTCCAATTTCTGAGTTATTATATGCTTCTTTCTTCTTGCCAACCGCCCACATCTCTTTGGCCTTCCTCTAGTATCGCTCAGGTTCAGTCTATGTATGTATCGTATCCACACGTCTTTGAAATGCGCATCAATGAAAAGGTCAAAGGTCACTGTAGGACCGATACCTCCTGTTACACCTCCTCTTCATCCTCTCTGTCGATCATTTATAGCTGTTTCATTGTGCTGTCCTGGTATTTTCCTCTCTCCACAGAAGGCGTTATGGGTGGCCCTTTACATACTGAGCTATTCCCCCTCCGTGCACACATCACTCAAACGCTCGCTAACCTCTGGGACCTGACACATTAGCGTTAGCCTCCAATCGATGCGCTGATCAAAAGGGGAAATTACACTCATAACTTATTCACTTGCCCACAGGTACAACAACGACGTCAAGCACATTAAGATCCTGACCAAGGAGGGCGGCTTCCACATCGCAGAAAACAAGAAATTCAGAAGCATAGTGGTGAGTTGTTTTTATTTTTTTTATTTTTTCTCATAATGCCTTTGGATAATTTATAAATAAGTCATGACGTTGGGTTAATGAAGTGTCAAAAGCTGAATTTTATTTTAGCGGTGCATTCAAAAATAGCTGTGATTAGAGCAGGGTTTATGCTAGCCGCGGGGTCTAAGTGTTATAGATAAGTCCAATGCAAAGTGAAAGGTTGACTCTCGATATTTATGCCACAAACTGGGAATGATCTATCTCAGATTTCTAATAAGAACCTTTAAATTACACTGCTTCAATACCAAAGTCAATTTATTCAGCGGTTTATGCGTTATTCTCCAGGCAAATAGGTTTCTTACTAAACTGTTATTTGAAGCCCTGCTGTGTAACTCTCTGGAGGCAGTCGCACCACCAGCATAACTACATGGAAATGCAAAGTTAAAGCCACACTTTGGAACATTCTTTGTGGAGATAAGTAGGGTTTATTGCTTTTTTTTTTTTTTTTTACTGTGGCATTCTAGGCAAAGCAATAGCATCATATACAGTAAGTCAGGTCTGTGGAGAGGCAAGCCCTGCCACATAAGGAAGCATGTTTTTCAAGGTAATTTAGAACTGAAATACTGTTATTATGAAGTACTTAATCTTTGTCTTTTTAAGTTTATGTAGAAATTGTGATACAGTTTAAGTAATCCGCTTGCTCCACATGTGGTTCACAATCCCACCATAATGTTTGTAGTGTTTATAAAATGAAATGGTAGACAAATATACATTACTGGTCGAACGTTTTAGAACACCTTTTCCAGTTTTTTAATCTTTACTGTTGACCAAAACGTATTCTAAACTTTTGATTCATAAAGGTGTCCACATTTGGCAGATATAACAGCTGAACACACTTGTGGCATTCTTTTTTACAATAGAAATCAAATATTCTTCAAAAAGTTCTTCCCAAGTCTGTTGCAGAAGTTCCCATAAATGTGTGGCACTTGTAGGTTGCTTGGCTTTCACTTTTCTGTCCATTTCATCTCAAACCAGCTCGATGGGGTTTAAGTCTGGAGACTGTGCTGACCACTCCATGTTTTTAAGCTCACCATCTTGTTCTTTTTCCCTGAGGTAGTTTTGGGAGAGCTTTGGCAAAGCTTGGACTTGTTTTACCTACCTACCTTTGTACCATTACAAGCTATTCATCAGACTTGCATGACTTGAATTGCAGTAAATAACTGGGAACATTAAGGTGCTCTAAAAGCCTTTGACTGGTACTGTAAATTTTTTCTGTTTGTAAGGGCATCTGGTCTAAATTTTAAGGTCAAACCAATCTAATTTTTGCAGTTTATGACTCTTTGTCACTTATAGAAACTTTCAAATATCTGTCCTACATTGAACGCTGAAAGCAAAACATTTGACAATACTTGGGTCAAAATGCATTTTTAATTGTGATTGTTTTTGCTTATAACAGGAGCTGATCGAGTACTACAAGCACCACTCGCTCAGAGAAGGATTTCGAAGTCTGGACACAACTTTACAGTTTCCATACCGGGAACCAGAGAACACTGCAATGCAACGCCTCAACCGATCTGGCAGCAACAGTGAGTCCCCATTCAACTGTACTAACATTATAACATGGTTTAAAGCTAACAAGAGTCAGTTTTGCATAATGTAGGACCTTTAATATTTTTGTGGTTCTGTTTCTACAATCAAAAACGTTAAATTATACAGTTTCACATTTAATTAATTTCTTCAATTAACATGTATTGCCTGTTTATTTCACATTATTGCCACCTTAATACCATTCTCCCTCTGCTGACCATCCCCAGTAGTAGTTTTCCTTTAGTTTTTTCCAGCTCCTTGCTCTGCTTGTTTCCCTTCTGTCAGACTCTCTGCTTTGCTTCACATGGGAGCATCTTAAAGGAACCACACAGACTTGTTGTTAAAATAGTCCGCCCGTGTTGTCATGACGATAATAGTTTGTGACTGAGCAGTCAGTCGCTGGTTGGAGAATCTACTAACCATGTTATTAGATTGGAAAGCAGTCCCTGGACCATTACTGAAGATCAAATCAATGTGGTTTCACGGGACTCAGCTAATCCAGAGGGAGGTTGTAACAAGTTAACCAGCATTACTAAACAACTGGACTGAAAAGACTGCAGATGTCTTAAGCATGAGCAGAAAGACATAGTGGACTGTAATAAGATGAAACAGAGATATATGTACTACTTTACTCATACATGCAGGGCTGTGTAACAAATCAAATTTGAGATCTAGTCATTTCTAAGTGTCAATGGGATCCATAGCCAATCCTCATTAGAAGCATGTGGTTTGGAGCAGAGTGCAGACATGTTTTTCATGCTGAATGGTAATGAATTAAAGTCTGTTTATGTTCAGAAAATTAATTTCAAAACCAAAAAAAAAAATACAAATTAAAAAAGAAAAACAAAACAGCATCATTGATTTTTGTCATATCATGCATTTATCATCTACCATGAATTCATTATGGACAATTTGGAAATTGCTCAAAACCTGTACTCTAAAACGTCTACTCTACTTTAAAAAAAAATTAAAAAGACATTCTGAACTTTTTGCAGCCATGTATATATAAATAGTCATAGCTAACCTGCTAGCCACCACAATCCAAATAAGAAGTGAGCATGGGCGTGCTTCTGGCTCCATCCACTCTGGCTCCAATTCCCTTTCTATTGAAAAATTGTCACCCCTCTCTCTGTAAATGCTGCTGTCAGGCTCCTTATTTTGGCCTTAACATGTTTGTACTAACCCACTCTTCTTGATAATTTTGTTATTTTGTCCATAAATCAAGAAATTAACATGAATAACAGACAAATCGGGTGCCTTCTTTTGCCCTCTTTGAATCCTTAGAGTACCTGAGGAGTAAACTAGGCCTGTTTAGTAATAAGCTTTGATAATACCTCCACTACAAGACATTTTCGTAACAGTTTCCTCCTCAAAGATTGAACCTAAAAGAGATGAAATCCACTAAACGCTGTGACCGAGCTGATCAAACCACGCAGCTCTTCAGTTTCTTAATGGAAAACGTATGACTCATTGCAATCACTGGCGAAATGAGATTGCGTTTGAACTTGGTGGTACATTGTGGAGAGGCGAGGAAAGAAAGAGATCGTGTTCAAAGTGGATGAAATAAGTGGACAGATTGTACAGAGGAGCCAATCGTTTTTAGGGGGAAAACTCTGTTGTTTGGGACAGATCTCATCCAAATGTATTTTGTTGTGTTGTGGTGCTTTGTCTTGGCGGACAGCTGCTCCTGGTGGGGACACTTGAATCCATTCTGCTTTTAAACGGATTCATTTGGATCATTTGGCCTCTGGTTCTGTCTCCCAACCACCAATTAATGAGCGGAGGTTGTTTTGTAGTTTAAACTATTCTGAGACACTGCCAACTTAAAGACATATGAGAGTCTAAGAGATATCGATTGTTTAAAGACAATTTATACACCGTTTCTTTTCTAAAACCTTATTGTATGCCATTACAAAACTTTATTCTTTTTTTCCAATGGCCTTCTACATTTTTCAAGATATAAGATAGACTTGACACATAATAAAGAGCTCTATGTTATAATGTTGTTTCCTCATCAAAAACATATCTGGAATTGTGTTTTTTAGTGTTTAGTGTTTTTTTTTTTTTCTTCTCTCAAACAGAAAACACCTTGTGATGTCATGTCTTAATACAGGAAGTGCACCATTGTGTTTTTTACCTCCTTCACTGTAATCATTTGGATAATTTCAGACCTAGAATTGCCAATCTGTACTTAAGGTAAAAGGCAGCTGTTAACTTTAAAACCACCACTTCATGACATCACTTTGAGGATGTAGACAGACTATTAATAAAGTATTATTAGGAGGTTAAAGGTTTTTGATGAGGTAACATTATATTTATAACATGACTTAAAGCTCACAAGAGTCAATTTTGCGTAATATAAAACCTTTAAGGATTAATAATAGTTTAGTCGCCTGTAACTATTGCCTTAAATCCACATTGTGTAACTTTTTAGCCAAAAATAGAAAAAAAATCACCAAGTTTCTTTTTTTGTTTGTTTGTTTGCTTTGTTTTTTATTGCATTAAAAACATGTGTCCTTACTATGGGTGGCCTTCACCTGCCCTAACTCTTATTTATTGGAATCATACACCTGACATGACACCTCCAAGAAGTTACATACTGTGGCTTTAAACACAATGTATATGTCCACTCATTCAATAGACATGTTCTATGTACACTATTGTGAAATTAAAAGTGCACTATGTAACTTTTGGTTGGAACTCCATCACTTTCTTGTTTCTTGTGATATATTATCGCTCTGCCTGGAATGTTCCACAATATGACATTAAGCAGCTCTACCTTACATTTATTCAGTTACAGATGGTTTTACTGCTAAAAAATATCTAGAGAAACAGCCATTCTGACTGTGAGCGGGGTTCCCTCTACACAGATCTGAACTGTAAGATGGTCTGGTTTAGTCTCCATGAAGATAGAAAGGTTTAATGCCATACTGTGAAACATTCCATACCAATGATTAACATCTCCATGGAGTAAACCATTTCAAAATCTTTAATAAAATTTGGTTGTTAATTAATATAATTCAACTATACTGCACACATTTGTAGATACATGATCAAAGTTTATTTTTAGTCCTGTTGTAATGCTATTTAGTAACAGCAACTTTACCCCTTTGAAGTGTTCAAACCACAACTTGTACTTTTTACATAATAGTGACCCTGAAATGTGCATAGGCATTGTCTGGCTGCAGAAAGTCCATAATAAAAATCTATCATTTTGAGCAGAGCTGTAGAGGGCTGGCTGATTGTATTTTAGCTCTCATCTTCTCCCTGTTATTTAAATTGCTCCTGTGTCCTCATTCACAGTTTCTATTAGTGGTCCTCATTGTGCATTACGGTGCGCTCGGGATCCTACTTTGTCAAAATGAAGTGTGCTGAATTCACGTGGTGTTTCTCTGGCCATTTGAAGTAGAGGCCGATTCCTCTTTATATTACTGCTACTGAGCTGTATCCGAATGCCTGGTTAGTATTCATTTTATAAGGGCGTCCACTGGCCCTACTGCATATCAATAACATGGGCTGGTTCATTCGGTCGCGTAAGGCCCATTTTTCATGAAGTTTGGACGTTTATCTGTGTTTGTGAGATTAGACTTGTTCCTATTGTCTGTGACAGAAATACATAATGACGCTGATGTGAGTATATGGGGCTGTATAGACAAAGTTAAGCACTCGCCTCCTCCATCTGTCAAACTGTGCATTTCCATAAGAGGCTCATTGTTTAAATCTGAATACATTGAACAACTTAATTAAAAGTGGAATTGTACAGTTACACTATTCCTAAAACTTTGCAAATGTCGAAAAAAAAAAGAAAAAGAAACTGTCTCTAAGTACAGTTATGGAGAGAAATTAGCAACAATTAACTGAAAAATATAAAGATTACTGTAAGACTTCAACTTAAATTTAAGATTCAAGGTGAGACTTTATCAAAGCAAAAGTGTCTAATCTACGTATCACAAACAGATGAGACGTATGAGTACCATAATTGGTTCCTGTACCATAGTTAGGGAACTAACTTCTAAATACTCAGCTCCGATTGCAGTACAAGTCGGTCGTATCTTGCAATACATTTATGGTTTGAGTTGGTATTCTTGGTCTTATCTGACAATGTTCCAAAATGGGAGGGAAAAAAAACAAAAACAAAAAATATATATGTGATTTATAACAAGGAACTATCCATCTAATGTAAAAAAAAAAAAAAGAAAAAAAAAAGACAACTATGAATTTAATTTGTCTTATTGTGTTTTGTAATGGTAAATTCCTGATATTAGCATAGCAACTTTTTTTTTTTTTTTTCGTTGACAGTATCCTAAAACTTTTGAGATCTTGTTTAGGTGCAATTTTTACCAGCGAAAAAAAAATCATCGACTTTTAGTTTCTGAGAAGAACAAATCAATACATTTTCAACAATATATGTACGTACCCAAGGAGACTTCCTGCCTGCTAAAACTCCACATTTTCAACTATTTTCACATATACATTTATTCACTATAGAATACTTGTTTAGACTTCAAGCTTTCGGAAATCCACTGTCAATTGTAAAAAATAAAATAAACCATATTGAGTGTTTGTCTAAGAATACAGCTGTGACTGAATTACATCTGGCTTGTCATTATAAATATGCAAATCCAAGCCTATTCCCTGAGCGCTAATTGTGAGAGAGTATATGTTCATTCTAATTAAATGCGCAAGTAAAGATGTCCTATTAACAATGCAAACATCCCTCTGGCTAACCGCAAATGTTTCGGCAAAACTAAAGTGCTGTTTCTAACTTCTGCTAAAAGTTCATTTCCTTTTGTTTTGTAGGTTAGAGGACTCATATTAAGCTAGTTTCTGATGTTACAATGTTGTTTCCTCATGAAAAACAAACCTGGAGTTGTGTTTTGTTTGATTCACACATTTAAAACACAACTCCTCCATGTGTAGGCTGAGCTCTGCTATCAAACAGGAAACACTCTGTTCCACCTTGTATGTCATGTGGTAATACAGAAAGTGCTCCACTGTGTTTTTAAACTCATTACACCTTCAGTAGAATTATTTGGATGATTTCAGTCCTGGAATTGACAATATGTACTGATAGGAGTGTAACGATATCCAAGTCTCATGATACAATATCGTCACGGTATGAACCTCACGGGACGATATTTATTGCGATATCATGGGAAAGCTCACGATATGATGGGGAGGCTCACAATTAGGGACATAACAATATTCAAACCTCTCAGTACGATATTTTCAAAATATACATCTCACGCTATGATATTTATTGCGATATTTTAGCGGGACTAACTGAATATGTTACTTTTTTCTCTTAAAATGCCTTGACAAGAATTAATCCAAAGAACTAAGTGCTTAGAACTGTTATTTCTTCTTGTAGTCTACACTGAAATGGAGCAAAGGATCATGGTCTATGTAGTTCCCTCTGTCTTTTTTTTAGCTATTGCTGCACCATAATTCTTAATTTAAGCAAAGAGACTTGTAATTCGATATATTGTGATGGTCCACGATATTATTGCAAGAAGTTTGACGATACGATATCACGATATTTTGGTTATTGTTACATCCCTATTTACTTAACTAAATGTAAAAGGTAACTGTTAACTTGAAAACTACTGCTTCATGACATCACAAGGTGGAACAGAGCGTTTTGAATTTTGGAAATATAGACAGGCTAATGATAAAAGGTTACTCAAACATGTGTGAACGAAACAAAACACAACTCGGGGTTTGTTTTGATGAGGACACAATGTTCTAAAATGGCTTAACGCTCACATAGAGTCCATTTTGAATAATATAGGACCTTTAAACTGTTTCTTTTGCTTCTCTCCCCTCCCCTCCCCTCCTTACCCCCCCTTGCCTCTTGCGCCCCCTGCCTGGCCTGCCCCACCATAGCCCCATTGCTCTGCGGCCTGTCTATTGTATCTCCCACCGGCTACAGCTTTGTACCTCCCTCTTCTGCCCCCTTCTGGTCAGGTACAGGTATCACTTCTGTCTTATTTTTTCTATGTTTACCCTCCCCGCCCATTTTGTTGCAGTATTTGGCATGCTCTGGCCTCACATCATCATGTCATTTGATTGCTTTGGTCTTGGCTTTTTGACTTTTAGTGTTTATTTATTTCGTTTTTGGCATGTACAAATATAAAAGTGAATCATTCAAGTATTCATGCATGTGTGTACAGTTTGCATGTCAATTTAATACAAAACCTTATTGTACTGAGGTTGGTATTACTTAAACAAATGCATAATGGACTCATTTTCTGTATAACATTCAAAGGATATTGAATCATAACATAAGAATCATTGCCCAAATACATTATCAATGTTATCTGTGGTTAAAACAGATCCATCACAGTGTATTGATAAGTGGTTGAAGAACTTTTAGCATTCACTTGGTATTTTTGTAAAGAACACTTAATATATTTTGTTGCATTCTCATTACTATGACGAAACTATTATGGTTCTCAAGTGGGTTGATGTGGGTATTTCAGAATATGTTCCACAAATTTATGTATTCAAATAAAGCACAATTGTGGAGTATATGTTCTAGTTAAGGGTGCACCTTAACTATAACAATATCAACAATATCAATACTTTGGCTTTTATTATCAGTCGAAACCCGATATTAACTGATACCAGTGTAGGGGCAGGAAAAAATGTCACTTATTTCCACACAGGTAAGCAAGAGATCAAATTGTGTTATGGAACAGATATTTGTCCTTCAAATCACGAATGAACAGCTTTGTGTGAATAAAAGGTTAATAATTATGAGACATTCTAGCCCAAAATCATCCCGTCTCAGCTAATTAAAAGCCCAACCAGGATATCGGCTTAACATATATCATAACACCGATATCCAATCCAGCAATTTTTTTAGTATTAGCGCTGATATCCAATACCAGTATTAGCATCACTAATAATAGTTGGGCATATCATTTTTATTTTAAAAAGAGAACCCTGCCAAACACCATTTATACTGCTAATATTGATATTTATTAGATGTATAGACAAAGACAAACTTTATTGATCCACAAGGGAAATTACTTGGACACAGTAGCTCAGACATCACAATATATAATAATAACAGGGACATTATTGCTATGCTTGTATTTTTGTTTACAATTTGTTTTCCAGTTAAGTTGTCCCCAATAGTTTGCATGTTTCCCACAGTGCTTCTTGGCTTTTCTTTTGTTGAAGTTTTTTTGCTAGCTTTGGTCTTTGTGTGTGCGTTCGTGTGCGTACGCGTCTGTGTGTGTGCGTTTGTGCGCGCGTGTGTCTGTCAAAGTAAAGGTGTCCAAATGCTCCAAGCGCCCTCTGTATTAGACATTCTGCCCCCATGGCCGGGTTGTAGAGGTCTGACACACCATTTCCACCTGTCAGCTCCGCCCGGCCCGCTCCAGGAGGGGGGAGTGGGTAGAGGGGGGGTTTGGGGGAGGTGAGGGGGGGTAGAGGAACAGGCGGACCCGCTCCCGGTCTGTCTGTCAGAGCCCTGCAACCACACAGAGCTGTCAGAGAAATCCACGCGCTTTACCAGTTATAACCAGAGCTACTGTAAAAACTAGATTGACAGTGGAATTGTTCATATTTTGACAAAAATTAACAACAACGACCAAAATAACTTCATGATTATACTTTCAATTAGCATAAAATATCTAGAGGGAAAACAAGGGCATACATTTTAAAGAAGTTCTATTGTGCTTAAAATTGCACAAGCTTGCATGAATCATTCTAAATGCAACTTCAAGTAAGTAAATGGTGAGAGGAAACAATTATAACTAACAACTAATATGGATAGAAGCTCTGAAAAGTTGATTTTGCAGAAGAGGTCCACCTTAAGTTAGTCTGTAAAATTTTTGAGTAACAACAAAGACAAAGTACCAAAAAGTCTCCAGAGCCATTTTGCATGTTCCTGTTTTTCTGTAGCAGCAAAAATGAACTAAATAAATTGTTGACTGAACATTGAGTTACATATTTTTTGTGAATTTGTGAGGGCCCTACACATGAAATTACATTGTTCCAACATTTTTATATAAGTCCTTGTGGTACAAACAGTAAAATGTCAATATGTTTTTTTTTTCTTTTCTTTAGTGTTTACTCCCAAAGTGATCGGAGTGGCCATTGCACGGTACGACTTCTGCTCTCGGGACACCAGGGAGCTGTCTCTGCAGGAGGGAGACGTGGTGAAGATCTACACCAAGTCTGGAGCCAATGGCTGGTGGAGGGGAGAGGTCAATGGACGGGTAAGACACCAGAGAACTGTTCAGAGAGGGTTATGGTTTAGAATAAGAAAATGCATTCAAACATCATAGTGTAAAAATAATATTTACTGGTCGTAGTCAGCCCAGAGAGTCTCATAATGTTTGAACATTTATTTATTCAAACTCTTCTGCAGTTACTTGAGAGATAAATAACAGCTATATTGGATCAGTTTAATTTTAGTTTTAAGGAAATAAATTCTGTTTTCAGCATTTTCTCCTCCAAACCATATCTGAAGTTGTGTTTTGTTTCATTCACACAGGTTTGATTAACCTTTTATTGTTAGTCTGTCTACATCTCCGAAGCTCAAAATGCTCTGCTTCACCTTATGATGTCATATAGTGGTAGTTTTTAAGTTATCAGCTACCATTTACCTTAAGTTCAGTGGAGAGGGGCAGTTCCAGAGCTGAAATCATCCAAATTATTCAAGTGAATGTTTATGGAGTTTAAAAACACAGTGGAGCACTTCCTGTATTACCATGTGACATCACAGGGTGGAGCGGAGTGTTTGTTTGAGAGAAAAACTCATGTGTGAATGAAACAAAACACAACTCCAAGTATGTTTTTAATGAGGAAACAGCATCATAACATGGAAAATGGCATGTTATAGGCCCTTTAGATATTGTATCAACTTAAAACAATGTTTTTTCTTTCCTCCGTGTTACATCGATCCAACTACGTGCTCATTCTGAGGCTTCAGACTCCACTGGCTCCTTGCATTCCTCACATGCATAAATCCCAGTACCAAAGACCCTGTAGAAAGCATGCACCCATTCTGAATGCAAATATATATGTACCCACTCCTACTCCAGCTTGGCACATCATCTGTGAATTTTTGCCTTTTGTTGCCAATCATTTCGAGTGCAGATCTAGCCTAATTTTCCTGGCACAATTCTTAATAGGAGGAGGTGAAGAGGTGGAGACTCCTTTTAACATTTTACATCCTGCAGGCATCAAAAATAAACAACTTCCTTATTGTTATTTCTTCTAAATGATTGCTAATTCCCTGCACTCCCCCACATGCAGTACAATTAGCTCTCCTGTGTGGGATGTTGAAAAGAATTCTGCTCTGTAGAAAGTAAGAAATAAGATGCACCACAAATGTAAATAAGCAAAAAATGGTTAGGGAAAAAAAGTACAGAAGAGTAGGAGCCCATCGCAAAATTCTTACATACATTATAAACCGGCAATAGTTGTTCTAGGTTTACTGAAATTATAACAATTGCATTACACATGAAAAGCAACAATATGGAACATTGGTCACAACATAGCATCAAATAAAAGCATGTTTTGTTTTTTCATTTGGTTGTATATTATAATATATATTGTATAGTCTTCTCTGCATGCATCTCCATAAACCTGACTCTTGGTGGTCTGGAGAAGGATAAATGAATAAAAAAAAAAAAAAAAGACCCTTTGTCTATAATCGTCCACAGTAAAGCATAAAACTTCAATAATAATGGATTTATTTGGAAATATATACCAAGCAAGGAGGAGATGAAAAGGCTGAGGAGGCTGGGGATTCTGCTGCTGTTGTGAAGATGGGGCAGAAGAGAATTACAGTATAGGAACAAGAAATCAATCAAAGGAATCAGACTACGTCACTTTGTGCTCTATTGCGCATGTCTTCTGCAGAAAGAGCTGCTCTTTTGTCTGTATCATGTCAGTGTCTTGTAGGATTTCAGCAGATTTCAGGCTTTCCTGGGGGCGAGGCTAGTTGTATCGATCAAGTATGAGTGGATGTCCGGCTACTGAAGTTTGAGACATTTTTTCTTGTTATTTACGTACTCACCTGCATTTAACACATATGGGTCATGAAGACGTATCCCACTCACTAATGTTAATTTAGCATCATAACTTACATTAAATATTACATGGTGATAAACTGTTTTAATGCCTGACAACAGCACTAGCAAGTGTTGCACCTTCATGTTAACAGTGCAGACAGTGGTGCTTTTTGTACTCAAGTTTGCACAGATTTTTCTGTGTTGCTAAACAAATAATCCATTTCTAATGAAGTAGACTGAGCGAGTGTGATGTCACCCATAGTGTTAGGCTCCAGTCAAATGAAGCTCACAAGGCCTGCAGTTATAGGAGCAAATTTAGAGCCAGGTCCATGTTAGGAATAGGAATTTATTTACATACAAAATAGTGAAATAAAAACACTAGGATCATGTAGAGCGGATTAATACAAACATTTTTATACTAAAATAACAAGACTCACTGCAGTAGTTACAGACAGAGGGGTGACAATTTTCCAATATAAAGTCAACAGGAGCCAGAGTAGATTTCAACAAATTTGAGAAGTTGTGACTGGGTTATAGTGAGTATGAGTGTAGCAATGACGCACAGAAATCCTACTCCATCTTTAATAGCTGGCACTAATGTCAAACTTTTGTGTCTCTTTTTCAGGTTGGCTGGTTTCCATCTACATACGTGGAGGAGGGAGAGGAGTGAAATGCATAAGAAGACAAGGACATAAACTACTTGTGACTGGCCCTCTGCTGCTCACTCCAGTGTTAAGCATGGCTGTTCCAGAGCTGCTCCTGAACCAGGCCTCCGGGACAATAAAGAAAAGGGCTTCAGTCCATCGCCAATGCAAAGAAGTGGCCCCTAACTTTCTGGTTGACTGTGCAGTTAAGTGACTCCACTCACTAGCAGCCTGCCTGTCAGAGGGAGCGCAGCCTGGGTCCTCCTCCTCCAAACTTCATGTACATCTTCAAGTCTACCACTCGGTACTGCATAAAAGTCTGTGCCAATTGAAGAAAGGTACAGATAATTTCACTCATTCATAAATTCTTGAGTACCTGCCATTGTACTGTTCGATTTGGGAAAATGGACGATCAACATTGGAATCTTCTCATTAAATTGTCTGACCATTTAGCAGTAAAAATGTGGTTGGCTTCATGTAGACTGGCTCCTATTGACAAACTGAAAGAACTGTACAACATGTGGAACCAACAGCCAGTTTCAGTATTAATTGTTCAAAGTATCCAAAACATTCATTAATCTTAAAGTGAAATTACATGTCTGGTACCTTTTAAACGCTCAAAATCTTAAATTGTATTAACAGCACTTAGAAAATTAATATCTAAAATGTATACTTTCAATTAGCATAAAAAACTAGAGGGAAAACAAGGTAATACATTTTAAAGAAGATCTATTCTGCTTAAAAGTGCACTGTGTAACTTTTCTGGTGGGGGGTTTGCCATCTGCTTGTATCCATAGAGATGGTGTGGTTGATGTTATTTACTCCATAACATGTTTTTTATTGACCTGAAAAACTCACCTCTCCACAAATCTGACATGTAACTTATCCCTATGGCATTGCCTGCTGTCTTTGTAGAGCTATTAATAAGCGTAATGCAAGGATCAAGGATTTAAAGCCAAAAAAAGAGAATGTTTGTTGAATTTTATTGCCCTTCTTCCTACGGGATTTGACGCATTACATACTTCACAACAAACAGCAGCGACTGGTTAAATAAAAAGTACCCGGCTACCGTCGAGTGAACGAATCCTAATGCTGCGAGGTCAGACGGTTTCTACGAAGTGAAACTGGTTGAAGAATCAGGCTAGGTGACAGATCCTCCACCTGAAAAATTCCACAGTGCACCTTTAGATTGGTCAAACACACCAGAATCACTCCAAATACAGCCAAATGAGGGGGAGCAACTACTAGTATAACATGAATAAAAGCTGTGAAATGTCGATTTTGCATTATAGGTCTTTTAAGTCAAATTTGAGTGACAAGAAAGACCAAAATGTCTCCAGTACCACTCTGCATGTTCCTGTTTTCCAGCTATTGAAATACATACACCACATTGCATACACTCCATTACATAACGAACCTCACTCTTTGTTAATCCTCCTCTGCCTACTATCAATAACATGCCATGACCTCGCCAGTGTCTATTTTTCATCTTCTTTATCTTGATATCGATGACCCAATTGCACACACACATACCCCACACGTGCTCCGCCCACCTCTCCACCTCCTCAGATTAAGATACAGGAGTCATTGGACCCTCTGGTTATCTGCTCTCAGCTCTGCCAACCATTGATCGGAGTTGTTCCTATTCTCCTCTGTTCTTTATCTGCAGCGTGGCCTCGTGTTTTCCACTTGTTACGATCTTCTTCTCTTATCGGTGGCAGCTTTGATGGTAGAAGATGAATTTCACGGGTTTTTCTTATTGGAGGTATTACCTGAAATCCACTAGTCCCTCGTGAAGATGCTCAGACTTTGTTTTCGTCAGAGCTCTTATCTTCTGTCTTTTGAGTTTGGACAAGTTGTTTTTACACATATGAGGGATAGCATATAGTGTTTTGCACTGATCTGGTGGTACTTTAATATAAGACCATTTGTATTAATTGTAGAGTAAATAAGTATGGAAGTGAAAGAATTCAAAAGCTTGCATTTCTTAAAAGGTCAATTTGAATACTACTCCAAAAACACATACATACATTAATTGGCTTATTTTTCACAGTGTAGTAATTTCAGTAATTTTCTTTTTATTTAGTCCATTAAAGCCCACATTGCTTAAATACTAACATGCACCCTTACTTTGAGCAGGCTGGTTTCTCCACAGACCTGACTTGAACATGGCCTAGATATGAGCATATATAGATTTTTATCCTAATATGTGTTTTATCTGAAATGTTACGCAGTAGTAAAAAGGTAACACACTTGTTTTGCTGAATTTTTCTTAGTGCAAAATGGTCGTATTTTTGCAGTCTGTAAGTATTGACAACTAACAATGAATACATTAATTAAGCACTGTTTTCCATTGCGAAAATATTGCACGTGTTCTTTTTATACATTTTAACTTTTACACGCCAGACTAGAAGTACCACTGATTCACTTTTCAAAATGGCACCAACTCTTTTTGCCAAATTTGCCAGAAAATATCTATTCCCACAGTACTTCAGTCTGAGAAACACATTTAGCTTCTGTCAATAGTACATTAACACTGTTTTTGGCTGCGTAGCTCCCTGTCCTCCCTCTCACCCCATTCAGCTCCACTCTACACTGTCTCCTTAATCCTCAGTGAAAAGAGGATTCTCCCACTTTAGAAAGAATTCAATAGCTTTTACTGCGAAACACACCTCAACAACGGACTTACAAAGAGCACTACAAATCACTGCTGAAAACATGTGGACGGCTTAATCCTACTCACAATATTATGACAGATTTTGTGACATTGCATTTAAATTATTTGAAAGAACAAACAAAACTGCAGATCAAAAAACGTAGAAACGTTTGAGAAAAACTATATCAACACAGAGCTGGCTTACAAAATACACTGTGATATTGGATAAAAACTTATGATTAAGGTCCAATATTACATAGAGTGTAATATAAATTGCCTCTAAAAACACCTATATATTTTGGTATATTTTCTAACATTGGCTTTTACTTTTCAAAACTACACAGAATGAAACAGGATGCTTGGATAAAACAGTCATAAACATTGCTTCTGCCAACACTTCTTTGTGCGTGTTTTTCACATTCGCACACACCTACACTTGGCATTTTAAAATCACCATCTCCAACTGTTTTACATAACAGATAATGTATAGAATTATGTTGTTGCAAACGATTCAAACATGTGAAGCACTTTTTCCTTGTTAATATTGCATCAAGCCGCACATTGGGTTAATAGAGAAGTTTAGTGGCTGCAGGGGATCAGACAGTCTTTGTGTCTAAGTCTGGGTGGTGTTTTTTCCCAGCATGCCTCGGGGCAAAGCTTTGATTCAAAAGCCTTCCTCTTCCCCTGTCATGTCGTCTTATTGTGCGGGTGCCATTGGGTATTGTGCAAGATGGATTTGGAATAATTATATTTGAAGAAGTGAGATTGAATGGGTAAGACATGTTTTTAAATGTAAGCTTAATTGGGCAATTATGTCTCAAAGATGTTAAGAGCTTTTTAACAGCAGTTGAAGTCATGCATCTATGCTATAGGATAAAGACATGTGTCAGTGGTGAAAGTGCTATTTGACCAAAGTGAAGATTCATAGGCTTAAGTGAATGTATGTTTAGAACAGTGTCATTAAGTCACCACTAGAGGGAAGCATCCCAAACTCAACTTCCAAAAGTTTGGAGGTGACGTCATCTGATTAAACAGTGTTGTCCTTGGAGAATCTGTGTTTTATACTTCATGAAGCTAAACAAACACCTCTGTCTTTAAATAGACTTAAGTAATTTTCTGATCAAAAAGGAAAACTATTATTAAGTACTTAAGTATTGCTGTTAAACTACATGGCAGACAAGAAAAAATATTGTAAAAACAGAATTTGGATTAGCTCCCTCTTTCTTCAGTGACTGTTGTAGTTACAACTTTTACTTTTAAATCATCTTTGTTAACATGTCAAATCCTTTAATTCACTTCTCCAAAGCTAAATGCTGCATGTCCAGGCATTACCAGACTAGTATACAGCTATAACAGCATCCTCCCCTTTTCCCATAATCCACTGTTGTGATCTTCCTCATATGAACTCTTGACAGTGGGACCATTTACCAGCGCCCCTCCCTTCCAGTCAGGTTCGGGACAGGGGCGGCAGGTGGGGGAGGGGGGGCTCAAGGGTATCAGTGATCTAATCATTACAGCGTCTCCTCACCTCACCGACCCGCCTGCATCCATCTTTATGTCACAAACCACAATACCACAAACGCACAGACTTATCCTGCTCCGCTTCTGTCACCTCTCTCCCCTCTCTCTCTCCCTCTGTCTCTCCATCTCTCCACCGCATCTATCTTTTATCCAATCTCCGTCTCCTCTGCTTGTGCCTCGTTCAGTCGCTTCTTGTACTCGTGTTTGGGAGACTGCGCGACAGAGGAAGCGCTACAGTTCAATAGCACTTACAATGGGCAAAATAACATCCATCTTAACAAACTGTGGCCATTTACAGCATTGATTCTGATGTGAGCTACAGTGATGGAGCTAGAAGAGTTTACTGCATTGGGGGCTAGTTCTGTTCTTGCATGTCATATTAGTTTTAAGTACAACTCTGCAACTTATCAAATTATCTGTTTTTTAAAAATTGCAAAATCTTGAAATTGCGGATCATTCTAAAAGAAGTTTATTCCTGACTTTGATGTAAAGCACATTATGGTACAAATGCAATCAGATATTTATACAAATGTAATTGAAGTTTGCAGTTTACTATTTCTTAAATAATAGTTTATGATAAGAATGAAAATGTAAAGAGCTTCCCCTGTTTGAAAGACCAGCAGTCCCTACTCTGATTTTGATTAAAATAAATTGATTAAAATTGTAATTGGTTAGCAGTAACAATATTTCTTAACACTTTGACCGAGATAAACCCTGAATCACCTAAATTAGTCCCTTAGTGAAGAGATACAATGCCACTTATAGTTTTGCTTATTTTGCCAGTTTTAGTTGTAAAATATAGCCAAATAAATGCTATCAAAATGTAATATTTAAATCTAATCTCATATTTTTATTTATCTATATCGTGTTTCTCCTATTTCTGTTTGTATTATTTTTAAGTCGTATTTATTTAAATCACACAATTTGACCAGATGCCAGTAACATAATCGGTTCGGAGTTAAAGGTGGTACTTATCAAAAGGACAATGTCGTCAATGGGAGCCAGTCTTCATATGATTCAGATGCCCAAAGACAATAACACTGTTTCATAAATGAAATATAAAACATGTGTATCAATGTATCACTCCATAACTGTATAAAATATAATTGGGAGATCATTTTTACATGAATCTACTCAAGTCAAACATGAGAATTGACTGTGTTTTGTTCATTGTTCATTATTACTGCTATAATCCAGCCCCTCTTCTTGACTGAATTCTGTATCCTCATGTTATATTTGTTAATTGTCATTATTCTGAAGCCAAAGATGCTCTCTGTACTGTGATGTCTCTCTCCTTGGTACCGACCGACCGTTGTGGCCTGAAACTGAAACCGTGCAATCCTGTGTAGCATTATGTGTATTGTTGTTGTATTATAATGTAAATAATGTATATAGCACATAATAAAATATACATTGCTTCTTCTTATATGTTGTCTTTTATTCCTAATTCACTTCATGTTATAACGTGATGTTATTTATTTCAATCAGGAAGCTAATGGAAAAAATATGTAATGAAAAATATATAGATTTTTTAAAATCTAGTCATTCAGAAAATCTTAGTTTCTAGACTTCCTTTTTCATCTCCCTAATAAGGAATTAATTTGACCACTCATCACGTAATTGTGTATAACTGGATGGCGATTGGTTGATTAGGTGTGCAGTTTTTGGAACAAGCAAAGTAGTACTAAAATATTGAAGTCTTAAGTGGTCCAAAGTTATTCCTCACTTAACTCATGTATTCCGGTCATAGTAAATAAGTCATCACAATGTGTTTATAAGTGCGTTTCCCAACTCTTTAGAGACCAGAGCAGTAAGCTAACAACAACTAGCATGCTAATGTGCACATTGCTTTATTAGATCCAGAGAGTATACAACAGCCAAGACCTCAAGAGCTGCTTATACAATATATTTGTATTGGGACAAGACCAAGTTTGCTCAAATACATGGGAAAAAATGTGTTATTATTAGGGTGATCAGACGTCCCTATTTACCCGGGACAGTCCCAGTTTTGAGTCCTGTGTCCCCTGCCCCAGCAAATTTACCCAAAACCAGTGATTTGTCCCAGTTTTGCACTAGAAATGTCCCAGTTTTTTTTTTACCAATTTGATACCGGCCAACAGTAAAGAAAGGCATAAATTGTCATTTGTTTAGGCAAAATACAGAAAAGCTGTTTAAAAAAGAAAATGTGACTGTACTGACTCACATTAGAGCCAAGTGTATAACAATTTTCCTTAATTACACACTCATTTCACCATTTTATTATTACCAATCAACCCAAACCAGGGAAGTCCCAGTTTTTTATTTTGGAAATCTGGTCACCCTAGTTATTATAATTTGACAATTTAAAAAGTCTTAATAATCTGAACACACTTGCACTCATCTGGCACAACAGACGCGCGGACGCTGCAGTCCCTCCTGTTAGCAAAGGTCACAGAGCGTTAGCCTAGCATTAGCATTAGCCTGTGACTTTTCGCTTATTTTAGTCCCGAGCGCCGAGAGTGGCAGAGCTCATTAACCGTCTGTCACAGAGACAGGTGGCTGCTCCCTCTGCACCGTTCAATAACACACGGACAGCAGGGGGCGCTCTCACAAGTTATAATAGCCCAATAGGTGTGAATAGGAAGAAAGTTGAGAACAATTCTATGCTATACTGTTACAAGGATATAAGTATATGTAGTAAAAAGTATTTGTATAAAATTGTCAAATTATTAAAAGTTCTTCTTCAACTTAAAGGTGCGCAATGCAACTTTTCTGGTGCCTGCTGATCTCCATGGTGATGTTATTGCTTTGTTGGAGATGTTTCTCAGTATGTCACTAATTAACCTGTTTTGTTTTTTTTTCTTTCTTTCTTTTCAGGTCATTCTTCAAGTTTATTTAAAAAAATCAACATTTGTGAATAAAATGAATAAAACTTGAATAAAACCTAAAATCAATAAATTGTTGATACCAATTTAAATTTTTTTTATCATTTATTAATACACCAAATTTTCTTTTCTTTTTTCTTTTTTTACAATTTTATTTATACATTTCAATAGCAAATTACAAAGTATGTATATCAAACATTATATTTGTACTTTTTTTTTTTTAATTAACCAGTTTTTTGTTATTTTTTTTCTTTTATAGAGTCATAGAGTCATGTTTATTTATTTCATTCATAGATTATAAAAAGACATCAACAGTGTCACAACATCAAACGTACAAGAAATGAACGAAAATTAGCATAAAGAAGACGAATCTTATGTTATCTGCCCCCTTTTCCCTTTTCAAAACAACACCGATGGTTACTAAACATTTCAAATCAGTACATTTCAGTTCAGATGCAATTATTAATCTTTTATAGCTAGATGAATAAGCTGAAAACATGCATTCTTACAGTGAGCAGGGTCTCTTCTCCATAGATCTTACCTGTTACATGGTCCGGTTGGTGGTATCAACTGTATTTATGTGTGGAGATATATTTAATGCAAGTTTAGTGATGACCCTATACCAGAAAAGTTACACAGTATACTTTAATAGTCCAGATATCCATTTTGAAACCTTTGCTACTTTAATGTTTGTTTATGTCGTCACTGCATTTTGCTAATTTACCCTGCGCTCATTACCTTTCTTAACAACTAAAAAAAAAAAAAAAACGTTAAATTAACTTTGACTAAAAATAGACTTTAACTCAAGAGGGAGGAATAACTCAAGCAGTACTCCGGATGTGTGAAAACATGCAGTGAATAGTTGTATCCTACAAGACACACAGCATATGCCTCTGCTTACCGTAGGCGTCTGGCTTGTGTGGGCTGAGACTGCTCCTTTCGACCATCTGCTTCCTGGTTATGGCTGGTCTCTGGATCCCGCCCACAGCTTGGACAGCACCCTCCCCGGACTTGCCTTGCCAGTTCTGGGGGCTTGTCAGTGGCTCCGTGGGGGTGTACGGGAGACGCTGTATTAAAATGTCTTCCAGGTGGGTCCACAGTCCGGGCCGGGTCACAGCGCTCCACCTCCAGCAGAGAGCAAAGGCAGGTCCAGACAGACAGATGGGCAGTGACATAGCAATCTGAGTTAGCCACAACTTTCTGGACCGAAAAAAGGACTTGGAAGATTACGATACGGTTTTAAGACTGTTACCAATTTCAAAAGTTAGAATAGAACGTGTAGCCAAAATAGCGGGAGTGGGTTCAAAGTGGTAGAGGACGAATCAACATGCAGTATTTGTCGAAAGCTGTCCAAGAAGAGGTTTGAGTGTTGCGATGGAGACCTTTTTAAGTTTAATATTAGAGTTTTTATTGAGTAGCCTTCAAAAATCAGCATGGTGAATTTGGTCGGCAATTACCAAAACATAAGTCTGGCCAATTTTATCAGCTCCTTCTCTTAATATTACTTCTGAAATGCTGGATGCTGCTTAATGGTGAACTATGTAACTTTCTGGTTGGGGGTCCGTCTGTCTGGAATGTTCCACAGTATGACATTAATCAGTTCAACCTTACATTTTTACACTTCAAAAATACCTAGAAAAACAAGCATTCTGATTGTGAGCAGTGTTACCTCTCCACAGATCTGACCTGTCACTTGGTCAGGTTTGGTTGGCATGAAGATAAAAAAATATAACTGTGAAATATTCGAAACAAAGCAAGAGAAAGCATGGAGAAAAGCACTTCAGTGACCCTCCACCAGAAAAGTTACACAATGCACCGTTAATATCCACAAGTAATTTTTTGTCAAGAGCTCCACATTCCCTGCAGTCCATAGGAAAACTATTGTATAAAAGACGAATTTAGATACAGCAATTTTCATGCTCATACTGCCACTTTTTGTGTATAGGTTTAAATGGCCGCTGTTGATATAGCAATTAAAGGGACAGTTTGGAATTTTGGACATAGGACCTTATTTCCTAGTTAGCCAGAGTGTTGGAGACGTCTGGAGACTCTTTTTAAAATATCTCCATAATAATAATAATAATAATAATAATAATAATAATAATAATAATGCAGAGGTCGCTGGTGCTAGGCTAGTGCATGTCAATGGCCATAGTTAGCCTGTCTTACAAAATCCACAAAGCACCCGAAGCAAATCTATGATTACGTCAGACTATCGAAGTGAATGTTTGTGTTGATAGAATAATTTTAGAAGTAAAACCAACCTTGCATTTGAAGGATTTATGTCTGAGCAGCAGCAACAAGTTGTTCTTCCTGACAGAAAGCTTGGCAGCGGTGGACTGATATGTGAGAAAATAGTCCCTGAACATGCGACAATTCATGCGATCCAAGGTTAGTTCATTTCAAACATTATTCTATCAACACAGACATTCACATCGACAGTCTGGTGTAATAATTGATTTGCTTCGGGTGTTTTGTGGAGTGGGTAAGACTGTTTTTAGTGTCAGGGTAACTATGGCCATTGACATGCACTAGCCTAGCACACTCCAACACTCTGACTAACTAGGAAATGAGGCCCTTTGTCCCTTTAACAATTTAAAACTTTACATAATTTCAATATTGCTTACCAGATAGACAAACTTTATTGATCCACAAGGAAAATTACTCACACAAGAAAAATAGCTCACACATCACAATATATTATACTAACAAAGAGCAAACATATGAATGGTAATAATAATTCAAAATAAGTAGCAAAAAGAGCAGGAGGCTGGTGTCAATAAGATGTGATTATATAAATGCATACGTATGTGTAAAAATAAAAATCTAGTACTACAAATATATCTCAGTTATATACAAGAGGTCGTAAACAGAAGCAGTGCAAAGATGAAATAATGACTGACATCAGACACCAGAGACCTCTACTTTACATAAAATAATACATGCTTTTTATAGTCATTCTGGGTGATTGTTAACTGTGTAAACATGTTTTTATCTCAGATTGACGGACTGTCTCTGTAAATGGAGGGGTGTGCCTCTCGTACTGGGACTGGGAGACTCCACAGATATTAAAGCTTTGGAGCACAGTTCAGTTGCATTTGTTTGCAGACATTTATTGGTTCCTCGGCTCCGTGAGTTTGTGTTTATTGGGAACAGCGTGATATTTGCAGTGTTCAGAACAGAAGGGACATTCCTCATCTCTGCATTGTTTAGATGACTCCCTGATCTTTTCAAGTTTGTGGGACAAGATAACACAAGAAGTTTTCAAAGTTTGGTATGTTATGAATGTGGGCAGATTTGGATAGTAGTTTGGTAGCGGTATTAAACTCAGGAGAATGAAAATGTGTATTGACATCAAAGGTCCTATATTACACAAAATTGATTCTTGTGAGCTTTAAGTCATGTTATCAAAAGCATACCTAGAGTTGTGTTTTGTTTTGTTTCACTCACATGAGTTTGAGTACCTCTTTATCTACAGTCTCCAAAGCTCAAAATGCTTGAGTCACCTTTTGAAGTTATTGGGTTAGTTTTAGTTAATAGTGCCTTTAACATTTTGTTCAGT